AGGATACTTTGATACTTTAGAGCTATACTGGCTATTAGGGGGAGATGAATAGATTTAGTAGGATTTTCAGTAACTCTACTTATTCAATCATCGATGCTAAACAATTAGTGGTCTATAATTATTATTAATTAAATTATTCAATTCTTATTATTAATTTAATTAAATTGTTCAATTATATTAATTGAATACATAAAAGAGTTTAATTTTAATCTTCTGTAATTCACTTCTTCTTCTTCACTAAATATTAATGTGGTGATAAGTCATGATAAGCGATAAAGGAGCGCGCGTTGATATACCGTAACCCTAAGGATAAGTTTTCAATTTTTAATGCGTATTGTGCCTGATTAAAGTTCTTGGCGAATCATTTATTGTGATATGGACAACGAAGATCTCTATTAATAATGATAATAATAACAAGAAGAAAGAAACCTTAGATTGGAACAAACTTCATACAACAAAAATTAAAAGGAAATTTTATATAAAATCTCCGCCGATCTAGAATTTTTCTCTTTACGTTCCTCACGTTTCCTCTAAATTCTGCAAGATAATAGACTTATCTTTTCGTATAACGAGAAAGGCTAATTCTAAGTCGAAACTTCTAGCGTAACTAAGATCTATGTTTCTGTATGAAGAGCACTATATCTATAGCTATGATTGATTCAAAGCAAGGTTAAGTTAAATTTATTTACACTATATACAGTTAATTAGTAATAAATCTACATATAGAAAATTCTACAAATCAAAGGACATAGCTTAATATACCATTCCCGTCTAGCATATAACATCTAACTAAACTTTTTTCTTCAGGTGGGGGGGGGAGGCGCTCCTATCGCCGTATGACATCATATTTCTCTACATTCGTCCAAAATACATATCCTAGTGAAAATAAATAAAATCTTAAAAAAAAAAAAAAAAAAAAAAAAAAAAAAACTGATTTAAAAAAGCTAAGCTTTTCATTAAAATCAACTGATTAGACATCAAAGCTTTACACTGCACTATTCTTAAATTTCGTTGATATACTATAAGATGTTTCTTCCGCCTTCTTAGCATGTCTTCGTACTGTAGTGGTGAGCACACTCGACGCGTATTCGAGAGGTATGTGGTTCGAGTCCCGGCGAGGGCATTGCTCATTTTTAATCTCTCTTGCTTCGAAATAACCGAATAGCTTTACAGTGGCGCCCGAACTAAAGGGTGGTGAATAATGATTCTTTACCACCAGGATTTGGCGACTGGGTGCCCTAAATCCCCAGTCGCCCTTTAAAAGAGGTTCTGTGGCCTTCTTAGCATGCTTTCGTAGTGTAGTGGTCAGCACGCTTGACACGTATTCGAGAGGTCCGTGGTTCGAGTTCCGGCGAGGGCATTACTCATTTTTCATGTCTCCTGCTTCTAAATTACCTAATGTCTCTACAACACAAATATAAATTTCCAAAGCTAAAGATTAGGTCTAAACATAGAAGTGTGTATGTGTGTATGTATTGAGAATACGGCAAAGCACACAAGGGCTATCTGCCTAAGAGGAGGGATGCCTTCGTGGAGGACTTTCTAAGGGAAACTGACTCGTATACACGTTACACATGGGGAAAACCACGAAAACGCCCATGTAGCCAGCCCGTTCGCGGGATTCGAACCTCGGACCGAACTACCAGTGTTTAGCGATTTTACCGCTCGGCCGCTGGTGGGCCCTAAACATAGAAGAGAAGAAAAGATAAAAATAAGTCTCCTTTTGTATTTAACTTTCTTTTTAGCCGAAAAGAAGAATGAATTACAGCATCATTTCTCAAACTTTTTTCAAGCGAGAACCACTTTTATTAATTAGAATATTCTGCGGACAGCTTTACTAAGCCTTTGAAAACAATTTTTTTTTGGCATTTGTTACTACAGGTGCACTAATGTTTTTCAAATACCATTATTTAGAATTCTTTTAATTTTTATTGGTGATAAGTAAATAGAATAAAATATGTATTCGTTCTTAATAATTCAGTAATTTGAAATTTATTTTTTGTATTCTTTCCTCCCCCCTTTTTTTATATATATATTCAGGAGGACACAGATTGCGAAACGCTGGATTAGAGTACTACGGATTAGAAAATCGGTTTCTGCAGGAATGTGTGTATTTTTCAAGCACCTTACTCCTGGTGTCACTTCACAATTTGCTACCAGGAACAGGTCAACAGAATTTCAGTTTGTGTTTACAATTAAATGTTTAGTTATTATATTTTATTATATTTATAATCATTATAAATTTAATATATTTAATACCTGATTTCTTCACAGTAACTTTCACAGGAGTTTATGAACAAATAAATCCTTCATTTCTAAATACATTTATAAATAATTTAATAAATATTTACGTATTCTGTTGAGCAGATACATGCTTTTTGGAAGCATATGCATAAATACCCATATATATTTAATATTTTTCACTTTCGGTGTGTGCAAATCTTTAATTTCTGTCCATTCACTATCTCTCTCGAGTAAAGTAATTTACGATAATTTAGCATATACCAGAATGTTTAACATAAGAAATATGTTTAAACATAATTTGAAAGAAAATTGCATGTATTATTTTTAATACCCACTCAAAGTCAGTTTTCCTTCGAAATTCCTCCACGATGGCATCTCTCCCTTTAGGTAGATAGCCCTTGCATACCTTACCCTATTTAATAAAAATTTAACCTGAGCTATGTGCCTAATTACAAATATTTAACATGCATAAATTTATATTTACATTTAGCTATCAAATTTCAAACTTTTGATTTAAAACACGTGTTAGTACACATTCATTCACAAATTCAAATTTTCTGGTTAATACGTTTTGGCAGAGCATTCAATACGTCTTTTAGAAATTACACCCAGTTTAATAGTTCTCTGGTAATATAATAAATAATAACTTTCCATTTCACATTTAAACAATAATTTCACTGTCATCAGATTGCAATCCTGATTGCCTAACTCTGCATAATATTGCTTAATTTTTCAAAACGGTTAAAACTACTAATTGATCTAAATTCACAAATACTTGAAATTTTCATACTGCGAGGTGATCCAGAAGGTAACAATATATTGATATACCGATTAATAACATTGTTCATTTTTCATGTCTTGAAACTCTTTCAAAAATAGCAGACCTCTACTCAAGTATATGTGTTGAATAACAAAGATTTTTCTTTCCTAATTTTGTATTGCATTTAGTCATCAAGTAAACATTTTGCCAAATAAAATTAAAAAAAAGAGAATCTTAACTTTATTATTTTTTTTCATTTTTTAGTTAACCCAAAGTGATTGTTTTTCAGTTATAAAAAAATAAAATGATAATACGTATATGAATGACAAAACATGTATTTTCTTTAAAACATTTTGATGCTTGGAACATGAAAGTAGTGAATACTCTATCAAGGGTACCGAAAGACGTATACAATTTTAAAAGTACCGCAAAATCGCTGTTGCAAGTTATCGAAAACTTGCAACAGCGATTTTGCAGTACCTTTAAATCGAAAAGTTATCGAAAACTTGCAACAGCGATTTTGCGGTACCTTTAAATCGAAAAGTTATCGAAAACTTGCAATTTTTTGAGATTTTTGAACAAATGCCACTAAACTATACAAATTTCTATTACTCATCAAACAATGAATGTTTCTTTTATGCGGAAGTGTCCCGCTTTTCGATTTGTATGGAACTGTCGTGTGGGGAAATACTAGTATTAAAGCCAAGGTTCTTTTAAAGCGCTGTCGAGGAAGCTCTGGATGAAAACAAAAAACACCCCATTTGAAGACCAAAAGCAGGGAGCACTGCTTCAGTCGTAATGCGGAGTTTGCCCCTCCTTTTATTCTTACCTCTATGGGTGGGGCAGGGGAACATCTGTCCCCGGGCGTAGCCTCCAGGGAAGAGCCAAATTGATGCTCCGAAATTTTAGAATAAAGTGTTTCTCATTCTTGGCACACAGAAGAGGGGGGGGGAATCTTCATTTGTGCCCGGGTGCTGAAAACTCTAGCTACGGCTTTGCCCACACCCAGCTATTGGAACGATAATTGGTGAACCTTGATTCGATTCTCCAGAGAACCCGTTCCACTGATCTACGGTCCACTATTGACTTCCTTTGCACCATATTAACCGATCAGTGCGGTTGGGCATCGTAATCGAGGCACGACCATGAAAACTAAGTAGATTCGCTTCCTAACTGATGGCAAATTCGTGTAGTATGTGGGTCATCGATTGGTTGCAGTTCTTCCGAATTTCTCTGAACAGTCTTCTTCGGCCTCTATCTTCCAGTTTTGTGAGTCGGCCGATGATTCGGGACACATTCCGACAATCAGCGCTCCCCTTCCACTTCTGAATCACATATACTGATGCCGATTTTGGGTATAAGGATCATCCATTTCTATGATACTCGAAGATTACACTTAGACGAGTAAAGAAATTTTCTGAAATGGGATTAAATTCATCTTGACTTTCAAGATTTTTTCTGAATATCAATGAGATTATTTATATTTTTTTCAGAAGTTCAGTTATTACACATTACTCTTTCAAAGAATCTTTTCTATTATGTGGTCAAAGAAGAAATCTATACTCCGCATTCAGAGAACGAAAGCTATGCAAAGTTTTTATACAAAACTGTGAAATATAAGAAGTTTATGATAAGGTTTAACTGCACCAAATAAATCGATATGTAAGAAAACTTGATCAACGAAATATTCGTAGCATAATTCTGGCTAAATTTTATTGTATCTAGAATCTAGTATCAGAGATGATCATACCGAAAAGTCAGAATTCATCATACGATCTCTGATACTGAGAAATAATGGTAGGTTCAACAATTTTCGTCATGAAATATTTTTGATGTTTTTCTCTGTCATAATAATCAAGATGCTGTTTGTGTCCTCCCAGCGCCTTATTTTTGAAACGAGCTACAATTATCTCACAGAAAAAATGGTCAACTTTACCACCACCTATTTTTTTCGACAGACATTTCAGCTCTGGTATTTTGCAGTTCGCGGGCTAGAACAGTTTTCCCTATAGTTTGGAGTGGAATCAAAAAAAGGGAATTTTCTGATTCAATTATTTACCGAAAAAGTCGTTCCGTATTTATGTGTACTGCCTATCATCCCAAACAGTCGCACGTGCTTTGTCATTTATGCAGTTATTGTCAATTCGACTCATATTTTCGGAGTTTTTAATTAATACAAATTTTTCAAAATTACGCACATTTAGGTAACTAGTTTTAAAAAGTCTCAAAACGATGTTTATTATTTTTTTATTCATTTTGTGATGCCATTATAATGTGAATACTAGGGATTGATGAATTGTTATTTGTCTTAAAAATACTAATTTGTGATTATGTATTCTGGGTTAGAATTTTTTAATTTCTGTTTGTACATGATTTTTGAAACTTATTGAATAAATCTTACATGAAAGGTTTAAGATCAATTTTATGATGAACAATTGAAATTTATCTACTTACTCATAATTATTAGCTGAAAATTAGAGCCGAAAATTCATATATTATCACATTAATTTAATATTTTACTAAATTCCTATAATACTCGATGACATGGTTTTTCATTCAAGTGTCAGAAGCGTATACTGACGTAGAACTTTTAAATATATTTCTAGATGTCATTCGGATCTGGCGAGTAATTTAGTATTAAGTGAATATCTTCTTCATTTCCTTACAAATATGTAAAAGTATATCCCATTTGAGGTAAAGCATGTTATTTCGATTATAAATACACCTCTTGAATGATAAGAAATATATTTAGGATTGATAACTGCCATTTTAAGCAGCCAAACTTTTATGCCTTTTTGCCTTGCTATATTTTTCATATAGAGTTTACTACTCGTAAAACTTAAAAAAAAATATATATATATATATATATATATTGTGTTATTTGTTTGTCTTTGTATTAAAGTTAGAATTATGCATAACTGGACTTTCTGAAAATTGTTATATTGTATTAATAGTATATAATAATACTGTAATATATATATATAGTTTGGTAAATTTGGAAAACATAATCCTGTTATATATGTATTGATAAAAGTATGCTAGTATTGCTTTTTATGTTTTACATTCAAGGGAAAAAATTTTTATGAAAGTTTTTATAACATGTATACGTACTCTTCTGAATCCGCTCCTGATAATAGAAGAGTACCGAATTTGTATTAAAATTCTAGGCTAAAAATCCAAGTGTGTAAAGCAGCTGAACATTTATATTTGTGGTCAGGGGTAGATCCTTGATATAGTAAAGAGGTGGATGTTTTCGCACAGCGTAACAAATATAAACCAACTTTGTAGAAAGCTCTTTGCAAAAAGATCTGTCTTACATAGTAAATCACCCTCTAGTGCTGTGCTGCGCCATAGTTAATGAAATTAATCAGTCAGATAGCCTTGCCAATGTAATAAAGTAATATAATTTCATGGATATTTTGCTTCTATATAATCTTAGATATCAACCAATTTATTAATCAAATGTGAGTGCTATATTTTCCAAAAAATCAGATTATATCTTTATCTTTTACATGAGATGTACATCCCTGATAATATGTACGCTGTTTTAGTTGTCTTTTATGTGTGGTAACTCAGCAATGTTATTTAGGAATAAAAAAGCTCATCCTTTTAATTTCACTAATTGTTTATAATGCAAAACTAGTTGTAATTTATGTTATCTAAAATATTACCATATTAGTCTCCAGTTTGAATAATTTTCAAATTAGTTGAGCTGAAGTTAATTTTTGTCTTGATAGTTTTTAAATTTCATCTTTTTTTTTAAAGCTTTATGGTAAATAATACACAGAATTTTTATGATTTTTGTAAGAGAAGTGCAGTGTAATATTTACTTTTACACACACATTGAGTCAAGAATTTAGGGTATTTCTTATATCGAAGATATATTTTGGGAAGAATGAATGAAAAAATTATCATATAATATCTTTTGGTATTTATATTGAAAAATTTGGTAACAATATATTTATGGGGGGCCCTTGGTGAGTTTTGGTGGTATGTGGACATTGAGTTTGTGCAATTCTTTGACTTGTTATTTTGGCTTTGTGTAGCGGTTATTTTTGCGGCAAAATAGCAAGTCAAAGCATTGGACAGACTCACTATCTATTTACACATCGACCTATTTTCACTTGAAAAAAAATCAGAGACTTGCATAAACTAAGCATTTCGCACTCCCTATTTTCATATACACATCGATCTATATTCGCTTAAAAAGTCAAAGGAGCAGCCAACAAAAAATATATAATCTCAATAAACTATATTTTAAATCAAACAATGAAATAACATAAAAAAGGTTGATCTTTGGATTATGGTAACTTGGCAATTTTTTGGCGAAAATTTGGCGACCAACACTGCTACAGCAACCCTCTTTTTTTTTTTTTTTCACTGCCATTTTGTCTTCACGAAGTAAAGACATGTTTCTTTTCTTTTTATTTACTCAACACTTTTTTCAACAATCTACTAGCCGAATTACACTTATGCTAGAAATTTTATGGAACAAAACTGCTTAATCATAACAAATATTTACTATAAAATTGGGAAAAAGTGCAGAATCACAAACTCCTTGCCGCGTTTTTCAAAATCGCACATACACAGTAACCATGTACACGTCGACTTATTTTTACTTAAAAAAACATCCCAGAATTGCACAAAAATGGCATTGCGCACACTCTATCCATCTAAACTGCTATTTTCTCATGTATTACAAAAATTTGCACGAAAATGCAGGAAAATTTTGTGAACCTTTAAACTCGGTAAAAAGCACATATATGAAATTACCTGATTGCGAAAAATTATATACCCTATCCAAGGATAAACATTTCCACGTATAATATAAATAAAATATCCAAAAACTTTTACCTCTAAATTATCTATTATAAACGTCACCAACGAATTCATAACAAAACATTAAAAATGGTTACAAATACTTAGTGTCAAATATTTAAATTATTTCCATGCACGTTTACTTCCACTCAAACGTATACCAAATTGCTACAAACATAATTCACAAAATAACTATCATTTAATTAAAATATAATTAAACCATGTACACGTTGACTTATTTTTACTTAAAAAAACATCCCAGAATTGCACAAAAATGGCATTGCGCACACTCTTCACTATATCCATGAACACTGCTTTTTTCTCATAAATTAGAAAAATTTAACGAAAATGCATGAAAACTTTGTGAATCTTTAAATTCGGTAAAAAGGACATATGAAATTACCTGATCGCGAAAAAGTATATACCCTTTCCAAAGATGAACATTTGCACATATAAAATAAATAAAATATCCGAAAACTTTTACCTCTAAATTATCTATTATAAACGTCACCAACAAATCTGTAACAAAACATTAAAAATGGTTACAAATACTTAGTCTCAAATATTTAAATTATTTCCATGCACATTTACCAAATTGCTACAAGCATATAAGTCACAAAATAAATATCATTTAATTAAAATATAATTAAACCATGTACACGTCGACTTATTTTTACTTAAAAAAAATCCCAGAATTGCACAAAAATGGCATTGCGCACACTCTTCACTATATCCATGTACACTGCTTTTTTCTCATAAATTCGAAAAATTTCACGAAATACATGAAAATTTTGTGAATCTTTAAATTCGGTAAAAAGGACATATATGAAATTACCTGATCGCGAAAAAGTATATACCCTTTCCAAGGATGAACATTTGCACGTATAAAATAAATAAAATATCCAAAAACTTTTCCCTCTAAATTATCTATTATAAACCTCACCTACCAATTTCTAACGCAAACATTAAAATGGTTCCAAATACTTAGTGTCAAATACTTAAATTCTTTCCATGCACATTTACTTCTACTCAAACGTATTCCAAAATACTACAAACATATAACTCTCAAAATCACGATCATTAAATTAAAATATAATTAAATTAAAAAACACTACTTAAAATATAAATAAGCACATACATTAAATTAATAAAAATTAGCTTACAATCCTAATTACTACTTAAACTAATCATTGCTAATAACAATTTTCCAATAATACCAAATTAATTTATTTACTCCTTACATTTAGAACAAAGCATAAAAATAATATCCTCAAATAATTAAAATACTAACTTACCTAATCTTCTACAGAATCTTAAGTGCATGGTGGATCACAAAATGTCCATTTTCACCAGATTTCTTGCACCGCCATTCAAACTTATCTAACGCCATTCAAACTATCTGTAATATCCTTCCTTTCACACAATCTCATTTCATACCCACATGTTGGACATTCATACTTATCCGCAATTAAGCAATTCTTTTCAATTACACATAAACGGAATAAAAATTTCGGATTTACTTTATATAGGGCCATGGGATCCAAACATTAAACAACACTGTTTAACAGAACATAGAATGCAACTAATGCTGTACAGCAGATATTTTAACAAATTTACACCCTTTTCTGATTAAAGAACAGTGATTCGTCCATTAATGTCACATGACATATCTCATGATCTCTCATTTCCCTCACGCAAAATAATGCGTAATCGGAACTGAGTACTTCTCACATTATTCCCAAAGTCCTAGGTAGTAACCTTTATCGCCTCCAGAATGTCGCCAAATTACCTGTTACCATATTCCAAAGATCAGCCAAAAAGAAATTCATCTTAGCACTATGCAAAGGAAATATCCACTTACCTTATTTACAAATTCCCTTGTCTTCAGTCAAACGAAATTCCTTAACAGCACCCAAAAACTTGCTAAAATTCCAAAAATTATCTGAACTAGAATATTTATACTGGCGTCACCACATAAATTCACAAAAATAAGAGTAAAACATATCCTAAATTCACAAAAATAAGAGTAAAACATATCCTCTGTAGTATAGGTATTCTCCGACGTTCGACCATACACATTTCCTTCCTACAAAGCAGAACACTTATAATGGCAATTAAGTAAACCGGTCATTTACACACCAGTCAATTAATGCTTTTTTTCCTTTTGTTCCAAATCATACAGAAACTTCAAATTAATCTTACAACATTCAGACATTTTACCATGTAAACTACAAAATAACAACATACTGCTTGTCCAAAGTCCGTTCCATCTTTCAAATTCACTGCAATCACATAACCAATTACAGTCAAAAGTCGTTAATCGGGACTTCGGCGATTCCGGATTATCGATTTTTCCGGATTATACATCATCAGTTTAAATCTGGTAAGATGGCATGCAGAAATCATAAAATTAAAACTATGAAACCGTAATTTATGAAATAAAGAACAATTATGATCTAAAGGGTATCAAAATTTACAAAAAAAAAAAAAAAAAAAAAGCTTAATATTTATTTGTTTACTTTATTAAACATTTCTTTAAATGTAAGTTGTTTAAGTTGCTTCGTTTTTTATGTGATAATACATTCTCTTTAATTCTATAAATAGACATAATTTCTTGTTCAGTTACAAAGTTCCGCTGTTCAAGTCCAATAATTGCTGTGTCGAGAATACCGACTAATTTGTCAATCGAAATTTTTTCATTTTCAGTGACCTCTGTCACTTTCTTCGCTATCGGGAAGCGAATTATAATGACGAGGAATTTGATTTAAATCATATCAAAGACAGAGTACATCAAGATGAAATACTACATTTAGTAAGGAATTATAAGCCAAATAAAATAAAAACATCTGCTCTGGAGATAAGGATAGTGCTGACAGATCAACTTTCAATTCATTGCGCGCCACGGCGTTAAAGATAAACAAAGTTTTGATAAACAAACGTTAAAGTTTAGATAAACAAAGGATATGCCTTTATCCATTTTTTGCAGCAATTCCACTTTTTGTTTAATAGACTTGGAAACATACTTTCGCTTTGTAGATCCTTTACATATTAGTAAATATATATCAGAAATTCTATTTGACATAATCGAAAGTTCAAGCTTACTTTTATAAAATTGGTCTAACAGTCTGCAAAAAATAATAAGCCGGATCCAATTTGAAGATTAAGGAACAACGCAATCTGCAACATTAATTGAATTAGATAATTTTAGCTTAGCTTATACCGTCCGTTATACATTAAACGCGCATTCGTAAACGTATTTTGGGCACGTGCACATGCATATTTCGCAGCCATAAAAGTCTTACGCGCATGCGTCAACCTGATGCATGCGCAGAAAGTTTGTAGTTTTGAGGTCCGGATTATAGATCATTTCGGATTATGGGTGTCCAAATTAACGACTTTTGACTGTACATCGTAATAGGGTTTCCATAGAATTTAACTGCTCAGATTACCATAAATGAAACAACTTGGCATTAAATGAAATAACAACTTGGCGATAAATGAAATAACAATTTAGCGATAATCCAAGGGGGCACTCTTCAAAGTTCTTCTGTTCGCTTGGGAGTTAATAGTTGGAGTTTTTATTTAACAGAGATTGTCATTTATGCTATGGATGTATTTTTAATAGCGAAGTACCTGCTTAAGTCCTAACTCTTTTAAATAAAATTTTACTGGATTTGCTCACCATATCAAAGCAGAACTGGAAAGCTTGTGGTTTACTTAGGGTTGTTGGCTGAATTAAAGTAGTAGAAGTAGATATATATATAAATGTTAATAATAAATATTATTAACATTATATTTAATGTTAAATTAGATGATCACGTTATATTTTAAAGCTAAATAAATTATCATATATGCATTCTGCTTAATATTATTTTAAAAAAATTGACTTTGAAATGCATTTTTGAAGTGCGCAGAGCTTTTCTAAAATGAATATTAGTACAAGGTTGACTTTTATTTACTTTTACATTTAAATGCATCTTTTAAGTCTGTTAAGACCATCCTTCTTTTGCAATATTTTATTTTGTTTATAACTTATATTGGTTAAAATTTACTCTACGGTACCTCTTGGTGAATAGCGTCCTTTTTGACGCCAAGATTGGCACCAATTTCAAGGTGCTGCTGATCTTTCCACCCACTACACAAAATCAAAGCAAGAAGCTCATCTGCTCAAAGACTTGCACAAACTCAGTGTGATTGTATACATTGATCTATTTTAACTTAAAAAATATCAGAGAATTGCACAAACTAGGTATTGCACAATGCCTTAACTTTGTCCATATATATACACATCGATCTTCTTTCACTTAAACAAAATCAGGAAGCTAAAACAAAGTTAAAATTATGTTAACCAGAAAAAATTCGCCGCTGTCTTAACACACAGAGATGAACAAATAACCAAAAATACTTATTTCCTAACATAAAAACATTAAGCAACAAATCTTCTAATAAAAATTAACACATAGAGACAGATAAATAAATGAAACATCAATTTTTTAACATACATTTTTTTCACGTGCATATGTTCATGCTTCCCACCACCATCTCCCATCCTCCACATAAGGAATTCAGTTAAATTTTTGGTCTCTTCTGCTCATCTGCTGTTATTAATATTCATCCTCTTACCCACCTTGGACATACTCAACTGATGGTACCCACAGCAAAATAATAATAAGTCCAAAATCCAAGACCATACCACACATGTGCAAGCAAACACAGCGACTGAAAACCAAACCCGGGTCCATACAAAAAGAGTTACTATTTCAAAAATAGCCAAAATCTAAATTTATCATAACATGTTTGCCGATATTCGCAGAAATAACCCTTTTTTAATGACAAAAACTAATAAAAAAAAAAAAATCCACAGTTTTCCCCAAGGCTAGTTTTGCCAACATTAGGGTTACCAAAAAACCTATTTCATGCAGCGGGCTTCCAGTTTTCATGGACAACTAATACCACTTGGCAGTTTTTTCAGGCAGAAAACAAGGGGTACCGTAAATTAAAGATCAGCCCTTATATTTCACATTTAGTAAGGATAGGTTCACATTTAATAAGGATATGAGTAGGACGTTTGCAGTTCATGCAAGGATGTGCTTCTAAAAATCTTGCATGCTGATTTCCTTTTGTAGAAATATATCAAAAAAAAAAAAAAAAAAAAAAAAAAAAAGCTTTGTACAAATGATGCTAATTATTATAGTATGTGAATTTTATTGGTATTTGTGTGATTATTTGAAATAATCTAAGTGTTTAAAAACATAAAATGGGCTAACAGTGTATGAGATGACTAATGTTGCCTGGAGTATGGTGTATAGTCATAAATGTAATAATACTACATAATAGTCGCTATGCCATATGTATAATTCATCTTTGATAAAGAAATAATTTAGTTATATTAAAAAAATATGTGATCATACAAGTTAGTGTATATACAAAGTGTAACAATTAAGTAATTAAGAGTGTATTAAAAAAAAGACATCAGTACTGATGTATAATATTACAGTCAGATAACAGAAGAAAAGACTCATAGAGATCTGTCTTTAATATAGCTCTTAGAGAAAATATCATAGGTCCTGGGGTCTCTCAATGAAGAAACTTTCCTTTAAAAAAATGGCTTTAGAAAGAAAAGTTACAAGGTGATAAATCAAGCAAGGAGGAAGGATTACAGAATGTAGAGTATTTATCTTCTGTTGTGGCCTTGGCACAATTGAGGGGATGAAAAGTATGATTCATTGCCAAATGCTATAAGCATTGATTGTAGTAAACAATTTCTTCACTATTTACACACTCTTATGTCATTTAATATATACATATAGAAGGAATTTAATATAAATTTTTATTTGTTTTAGTAGTTAATAATTTTATAATTTATATAGTATTTAATTAAATAAATTGTAAAATTATATTATTTTTTTTATATTCTTTTTTTTAATGTAATTTTGTTAGCAATTTATTAAAAAAATATATTTTCTTTCTCATTCCAGCATGCCTTCCTGGTGTTACGATTAGCACATTCAACGCATATTTGAGAGGTCTAGGTTCGAATCCTGGTAAGAGCATTGCTCATTTTTCATGTCTCCAGCTTCAAAATAACCTAATGACTACAAACATACATAATAAACTCCTTCTGGTGAACACAATTCAGCAACTGCTGGTATGCATTGCCAGATGGTTTCTTTTTCAGCATATGATTGCATATTATGCCCATTTTCGCAAATTTTCTCCTGTTGGTAAAATAAAATTTATTGGGGGGGGGTACTATAGCATCTACTTCAATTGATGGTGGGCTAAAAATAATAAGTATAATTAAATATTTGCAATGAAAAGTCACTATATTTTAAAAGCAGAAATTCTCACTAGCCAAAGAAACATGAAATACTTTTAAAAGCAACAGCAGAAGAAACATATATGTGCAGATCAGTAACAATAAACAATTGTTTCTCTCTCATGGGCAGTTGTTTCTTGCCAGTTCAGAGGTGCGTCAGATCAACACTCACAAAGGCTGCAACAGAAGATAAGTACAAAATATGTAATATTGTACTTGTTTTTAACCAGGCATGGCTGTATATTAACTGACTGACTGGTTGGAAAGTGTAAATTTGCTCTACTTATAATCGCTGTATTGTGTACTTCGCTGCATTTGCTGTATTGTGTTTTAACTGATAACATCATTTTACCCTATGCTTAGGTCGTTTGTTCTGGGTCATCAGAAGTTTCTGACTACTATCAGTGTGAAAATGAAAACATTATAATGACATGAAAGGTATCATTGTTTATTTTTATGTATTTAGTATTCTGTTTATATTAATTTGATGGGTATTTACTTATTTTCTTGTTGAAAGTTGGCAGAGATATCACCAAATTTGTGTTGGTCATTCTGACATAAAATTGAATGTACAATTGCTTTTTATTTAATTAGATAATCAATAGACACTTAATCTAGATATAGGACATATAAAAAAGTTAAATATGACGTACACCAATTATTTGGCAAAAGTTTAGGAGGAGCAGATTGCTCTTAGGATAATCAAAAGAGAGAAACTGGCTGATCATGGATAAATTGGAAATATATAAATCATGGTGAAGGTATTATAAATATGTTATGATAGCATGCTTATCCAGTAGTAGTGCTAAAGCACAATTGTTAGTAATGGTTTTTTGTTTGTTGAAAATGGCTGACAGGAAAATTTGAGAAGTACAAAATGATGTTTATTTGCAACTCATTCTATTTGTATGAATTGGTTCTTTATAATGAAAATTTTTAGAAAATAGTTTTGTTTCCTAAAGGTTGAATTAAATAACACATTTTTGTCAGTAAATGTATTTATTTATGTTGTCATTAAATGTTTGTATGACTCATAATACATTTGTGAAAGAAGTGATTATATTTTTTAAATGCTTAAAAAATGCAATGAAATCAGTGAAAATTTAAAAAAAAAAAATGATAAAATTAGTAATATAAATTTTAGTAGCATAAATAGAGCTGGATGTAAAATGTTATCAAAGGAAAATAAAAATATGAAAAATAAAGTAATTGCTTTTGCTCTTCTTGTTACCCAGCGACAGTGACCACCTTAGTCAGTTGCAAAAATTGGAAGGTTAATTACCAGAACTGGTGAACTTAATCGGTGCATTTTTAATGGGCAACATCTTTAATTTTTAGACTGTTTTGTTTAAGAAGTTGTTGCGTCATATCATTATCAATATTTTTTTTGTCTAAAATATTTACCATTTTAAATTTATAATGTTGCAAAAGAAGCAGTTGCAGGGCTCGTACGGTTCTTAAAAGTCCTTAGGTTTTTGGAATCGATTTTTGGTCCTTAAAAGTCATTAATTTCAGCCAGAATCGGCAGAAGGTCCTTAATTTAAATCACCTGAAATTTCTGTCTGTTTTTACAACTACCATTTGAGTGTGAATTAGTACTTTGCAGAAATTTTTTGGCGATTCACAGACAAATGTGGTTATCTTTTGAATGGGTTAGTGTGTGTGTGTGTGTGATTATGGCAAAGCCTCGAGGGCTATCTGCCTAAGGGGAGGAATGCCTTCGTGGAGGACTTTCTAAGGGAAACTGGCTCATATACACATTACACATGGGGAAACCATGAAAACGCCCATCATGGGTTATAATTTGTTCCTATTTCTAATATAAATGGTGGGATACTTGAGTTTCTGAGCAAGACGTGAAACATAAGCATTTAAAAATTATTTCCTCTTAAACAACTTTTTGCTTTGGGGATTTTTGGAATTGATTGACCCATATCTTCTTTATCGGAACAGTTAATCCTTTTCAGATGGCTATATATGATTGTTATGACATGTGAGAAAACCAATATATATTTTGATATAATTTTCAACAACTGTAAATCTGTGACTTTTTATTTATTTATTTTTTGGTTAATAGGGTTAAATCTTGTATGAATAGGGTTATTTTTTTAAAATGATTCATAAAACATAAATTATAAAACTAAAAGTAATATGCTAATCATTTATCAGCTATTTCATTGGTATTTAAAAAAAAAAAAAAAAAATTCTACATCATTGTACACAAAAATCTTAATTTAGCATACTTCACATATGGACTGTTTTTTACTATGTGATATGACACATTAAATTTACATATATTGTATTCTGTATATTTTATTTTATATTTCCAAGGCGTGTAAAGATTTACATAAAATAAATGCAATAATTTTTCCAAAATGAAATAGAAAAGGTTAAGCTTTTATTTACTACAATTAAGAGTGTCAGTTAATTATATGTCACTATTATCTTATACATTAGGTAATAATTTTTATTTTATGTTATATGCAGCCACCAGCAGTGCAAAATATATAACACAAACTGCTTATTTTAAAATATAAAAGTGCCTGTGCTATTAATTAGATTTATCCCAATACATCAGAAGCAGTTAAAAAGGATAAAATTTTAACTTGTGCATAATAATGCATTAACTATTTTGCTTTTATATTATACTTGTAAATATTCTGGAATTTTTTAGCTATATTGTTTCAAAATGGCTGATCTCATTCAAAATGTACAACAAGTATATCAGAAGTGGGAAAAGAAATCTGCTCCAAATGCCAGATACAGAAAAAACCGAAATCAGTTTCCTCATTCTGTTTCAAGAACAAATAATGAAGAAGTTGCATATGTTCCAGATCATGGAAACTATAGACAAATAAGAGATAGGAGAAACAAATATCGTCCAAGAATTCAAAACTTCAAACTTGTAAGTTGAGAACAAGAATGTTTTTTATTGTATCATTGATGGCATATCTGTGACCACATATATCAGTGATGACACAGCTGTATGCACAAAATGCAACTGTTTTTCTTTTTGAATTTAGTTCAGAATTTGCATTCATGTTAATAAGAATTTATTTTAATTGTTTTATTTTTATTTTATGCTTAACTGCTTTTAAATATCGGTGGCTTTGCTCAGCTTATTCTGTACATTTTTGTCTCCTCATCAATTCAAATTTAGTATAAGTAGGGTAATTTTTAATGTATCTTTTAACATCCAATTATTAAGGTGCATATTCTTTTCTCTGTTGTAAATCATTGATTATTTATTTCATACTTTCATGTAGTTGTGGTTTTTCTTCCGTTTAATTTATGTAGTATATAAAATTCTTTTTAATAATGAGTCTTTTCAATTTTTTTTTTAATTCAGTGTTATAATTATTTGTGATTTTAATGCTTTTTATAGCACCATGCCTGAATGTTCTGTATTTTTTCTTAGCTAATTTGATTTGTAAAAAATTGTTTGTTTCATTCAGGGGGAAGAAATATGCCTGCAGAGCTAGAGTTGGGCATTTTGTAACTTCTTGATTTGCTAAGACCATTACTATATTATGTTTACCATTACTATATTATTTTTACATTTTTCAAAATGTTGAATTAACTAAAAAGCATCAAGAAAGGATTTAATATTGAATCATGCAGAACATATTTATGTGTAAAAGCAATTGTTAAAAAGGCTTTCAACTTTATTTCGATTATTTATGCATGCCTTGTATTTATCACCCTGCATACAGGAAATGCCATTGAAACTTTTATATCCTTCAGAAAATTTGCTTTAAGAAATCTAATTAAATTTTAAAATATATTTTGGATGATTTTTTTAAAGATATTAATGATGAATATGAAGTATTTGTAATTTATGATAAGCAGCAATAAAATAACATGTAAAAAATTTAAAGTTGCATATTTTCCCCCCAAAAAATTAGTGAATCTAGCATTCCCTTTCATAGATGTCACCACTATAGGTACCTCAAGTCTATTTATAAACTTTCTTCCTCTTCTCCCACAGCCTAAGTATGATGGACTTGCACAGTTTAAAATGGCTCCTAGCATATTCCCTGAGAGCAAGTCTAGACCTTTCATGGGAGGTGCATGTGCTAAATGTGTTCCTTTAAGCAAAGTATGTCTATCCTCCTTTTTTTTTTTAAAAAAAAAAAGTGTCTTTTCATAATATACATTTGTGGTTATTTGGTTTACATTATTTACATACAGCTTATACTATAGTACTGATTTTAAAAAATTGTAATACAGCTTATACTATAGTACTGATTTTAAAAAATTGTAAGTTAATTTCATGCAGTCATTTTAATTTAATTTTGAAGTTATCTTAATTAAATATGTTAAGAAAGTCTTTTAAATCAAGTATATAATTATTTTTTATTAGTGTTTTAGCTTTCAAATTAATTTTGAATATTTCATTTTAGTTTCGAATGTGTGTTAACGCTATGCCTTCATATAACTTTTTTTTTTTTCTTTTTTTTTAAATATTAGGCATCTGTTTTAGACACTTCTGTTTATTCTCTTGGTGTGAGTAATGCTCTACATATTCCCTTTTTTCACAGGTAAGATATTATATAAAAATCGAATTAATTTTATCAAAAGATTATTTTTTCATTGCAAATAATTATTTTTTCATTGCAAATAACATCAAACTTTGATATGCTAAAATTGGAGGGGGTTAAAAAATAAGTGATAAACTATTCAACTTATTGAGAAGTTTTAATTTAAAAGTCTACATTTTTACGTCATAGGAGGATGGATAGGGTAATATAATCCTGCTTTATTAAATTTTTCAGATTTGAAAATTCTATTTTCTCTTGTAACTTCAAAATTTGCAGGTATGATAGTTTATATTCTTGAACTTGCAATTCTTGAACTTGCAGTTCTTGAACTTGCAGTTCTTGAACTTGCAATTCTTGAACTTGCATTTACACTGCTGGCCATTAAATTGCAACACCTGGAAAGAATGATCTGATGATCGTCAAGATCACATGAAAGGATATGCAGATGATTAGTATTTCGGTGCATTTAGACAACACAGGAAGGAGAAACAACATCTCAACCACTGCATAAAAGAAACATTGTGTAGTGGATTTCTCATTTGGAAAGTGCTTTGTAACGTTGGAGTTTGCTCAGAATATCATGTTATGCCTCAAATAAGAAGAGGAAATGTTTATGAGGACGTTTCAGAATTCGATAGAGGCAGGATTGCCTATCAAAAGTGTAGATTATCGTTCTGTGATACCGCCAGTCGCACTGGTTGACATTCAACAACTGTCATGCGAATATGGAATCAATAGATTGGTGAGGATCATATTGAATGGCATGCAGGTTCTCAACACCCTCCCATGACTAGTGCGAGACGGGGCAGACATATTGTGAAGTCAGCCCTGCAAAATCATATGACCACGTCATGGACCATTAGTCAGGAAATAGGCATGTTTGCAGCATGCCCATTTCTTGACTTATAAGGACCTGACTTTGTAAGATGCATAGACGTTTGGAGCAGTGTAGGCTATCAGCATTACTTCGGCTTCCCTTGACAATGCAGCATAGAGAAAGACGACGACTCTGGTGAGCCGAATGACAAAGCTGGATACAGGAGTGTCCCAATGTCATCTTTTCAAATGAGTCCTGGTTTTACGTGTAGTATTTTGATAGTCATATGCATGTCTGGAGTGCCCTAGGAGACCGCATGTCGCCTGCTTGCATGTGATATCGGCATAGGGGCCTTACACCTAATGTGATGGTTTGGGCTGCCATTGGTTACATGACACGAACATCTCTAGGTTTGGATCAGCGGTAATTTTGACGCAGATGGTACTTTCGATTTAATCATGGTTCCTTATCTTTGAACTCTCAATGCCATTTTCCAAAAAATAAACCCTTTCCTGGTCTGAACTTCCCGTACCAGATTGTGTGCCTGAGATGAAGTGTTACAGTTATAATTATTTTACATCACATCCCTTCCTCCAGTTTATAAACAATAATAAAAAATACAATATCAATACAAGTATATTCACAATATGACATACAATAAAAAAAGTTACATAAAAATGATATATGCAATATGTTACATTATTTTATTCCATGACTAAGTCTCTATCTTGAAGGTTGTCTAATCAACCGTCCACTTCTTGTTATTGTATTATTGGATAGATTATTCTGTTGATTTCCTATATTAACAGGCACAGAAACATTCTCAGGGCTTCCATTTGAATTTTCCTCTTTATCTAATAATATATCATCATAATCATTATTAACTTTGTAAGGTGATTTTGAAAATTTTATATGGCGTCTGTTTCTTCGTAATATTTCCCCATTTGAATTTCTTACAATATAGGATCTAGGAGCTTTATGTTTTGAAATTATTTCACCTTTATCCCATTGCCCAGTTCTAAAGTTGAACAAGGTTATACTATCTCCAGGTTTTAACTCAGGCAGTTTCTGTGCGGTTCTATCATAATAATATTTTTGCCTAGCTTGAAGTGCACGAAATTTAGAATAAGGTTTGTTTATCTTTAGTATTTAACAATTTATTACTGATAGGTAATTTTGTCCTTAATCTTCTATTAAGTAACAGTTGTGCAGGAGACAAATTTATTCCACTAATTGGGGTATTTCGATATTCCATTAAGCCTACACTTATATCTTGCACTTTTCTCATGATATTTTTCACTATTCCTACAGCTTTTTCAGCCAACCCATTACTTTGAGGATATCTGGGGCTACTAAATTTAAGTTCGAAATCCCAATCTTCAGCAAATTTCTTAAATAAGTAGCTATTACAGGGATTATTGTCGCAAACGACTTCATTTGCAATACCATACCTGGCAAAGATGCATTTTAACTTTATCATAATTTCATTTGCTGTCTTATCTTTTATGTTAGAAACCTCAATCCATTTAGAGTAATAATCGATAACTACTAAGTAATTTTGATTACCAAATTGCAAGATATCAAGGGCAATTTTTTCGAATGGTTTAGTTGGAATTTCATGTTGCATTAGAGGTTCTTTTTGATTTCTATTTCTGAATTTTTCACATATTTCACATTTGGAAACAAGCTGCTCAATGTCATTTGTCATACCTGGCCAGTAAAAAATTTCACGGGCTCTACTTTTACATTTCTCAATTCCAAAATGCGCTTCATGAATTAATTGCAACATATCTTTTCTCAAACCATAAGGTACAACTAATTTTTCATTAATAAATAACAAGTCGTCATTAATATAAAGATCATTTTTAACTTTAAAGTATATTTTTTTACACTACTATCTACTTTTTTGTAACATTTAGGCCAACCCTCTTTAATACATTTCATAACTATTTGCAAATCTGGATCTGATTCAGTTTCTTTCCTAAATTGCACCACTCTTCTTTCACTCATAGGCAAATATTTTGAAATAATGTGAACAACATTTAGCATTTCAGGATCATCACTAATAGTTTCCTTCACAGGATATGCACGTGACAAAGTGTCAGCAAAAAGCATTTGATTACCTGGAACATAATTTATCTCAAAATCATATTTTAGTAATTTTAAGATCATCCTTTGCATTCTAGACGAGATTTTATGCAATGGTTTCTTAACAATTGCCATTAACGGTTTATGATCACTTTGTACTGTGACTTTTCCGTCCATAAACAAAATTGTGGTACTTTTCAAAAGAAAATACTATGGCCAATAGCTCTTTTTCGATCTGTGCATAGTTTTTTTTCACTGTTAGTCAGGCTGCGAGACACAAATGATACAGGCTTACCCTTTTGAATTAGACACGATCCTAGGCCATCCTTCGAACTATCACACTGTATAATTATATCCTCATTACCACTGAAAACTTTTAAAATTGGAGCTTTGTTAGCAGTTGTTTGATGTTGTTCAATGACTCTTCCTGAGTTCTCTCCCCAATTAAATTCTACCTTTTCTTGAATGATTTCTCTTAAAGGAGCAGTAACTTTAGATACATTAGGTATATGAATTTTGACAGAAAATTTAACATTCCTAACAACCTCCTTACTTCAGTTTTTGATTTTGGTGTTGGCATATCAATAATTGCTTTAATATGACTAGGATCGGCTTTTACACCTGACTCAGAAATAATTTGGCCTACATATTTGACTTCCGGTACCCTATATTGTAATTTATCAGGATTAATTTTATATTTAGAGACCTAGCTCTTTCAAGAACCTTAGAGATAATTATATCATGAGTAACCTCATCAGATCCTGCAATTATGATATCATCAAAATAAACTTCCACACCCTCAATATCACCAAATAATTTTTGGTTTCTTTTCTGAAATATTTCTGGGGTAGAGGATATTCCAAATGGCATTTTATTAAATTTATATCTTCCATAATGAGTATTAAATGTACATAGTTTAGAATTAGTTTCATCTAGTGGTACATGCCAAAATCCATCTTTTAAATGTACAACTGAAAATACATTTTTAACCTTCTAACCTACTAATTATATCATCTGGAGACGGAATTTGATAGTGTTTCCTTTTAATTACTTTATTTAGATCTCTAGGATCCAAGCATAATTTAAGATTCCCATTAGGTTTTTCAACTATAGTACAAAGTCCGTAATCCGGAAGTCCATTATCCGGAATAATCTATAATCCAAACCTCAAAGCCACAAACTTTTTTTTTGTATGCTTTATGCATTGGGAGGATGTGTCTGCAGATACATTAAAAAATGCTTGGCATAATGTATGGCCAGCTACCATATTTCATGGTGAGGACGATGAAGATTATAGCCGAGAATTTGAAGGTTTTCGGACATCGCAAACTAAAGGTGAAATTTTCCAGTTATTGGATTTTGTAAAGAAATGTGGAGAAGTGGTAAAAAACGAAGATAATATAACAGAAGTTTTTCATTGTGACAACAATGCCCCAATCATCAATCAATTAACGGACGGCGAAATCTGTAGTATGGTTCTAGATCCAGAAAATACCGTTTCCAATAGGTGGAACTTTGTAACTGAACAAGAAATGATGTCTGTTTATGGAATTAAAGAAAACGTATTAGCACAAAAAACGAAGCAATTTAAACAACTTGCATTGAAAGAAATGTTTAATAAAGTACACAAATAAATATTAAGCTTTTTTTTTTTGTAAATTTTGATACCCTTTAGATCGTAATTGCTCTTTATTTCATAAATTACGGTTTCATATTTTTTAATTGTGTAATTTCTGAATGCCATCTTACCAGATTTAAACTGATGATCTATAATCCGGAAAAACCCCTAATCCAGAATTGCCGAAGTCCTGACGAATCTGGATTACGGACTTTGTACTGTATAACCAAACTTTGAACCCAATCAGTTGGTTTATTTACTTTTGATACTATCCCTTCTCTTTCAAGTTTATCTAAAGTATCTTTTAATTTAGGCTGTAAAGCCTGAGGAACATATCTTGGTGGGGTGTATTACTGGTATTGCATCATCTTTAAGGGTTATATGATATGGTTCATCAGGAAATTGCCCTGTACCTGTAAAGACATCTTTATATTGAGCAATTAAATCATTTTTATTAATGATATTGCACTTTAAGGAATCAATCTTTTCAATTAGCTTTAATGCAGAACAAGCTGTTAACCCTAATATAGGCTTAGATCTTACATCAAGAACATAAAACTGTAAAGGTACATTCTTAAGCCTTTCAGTTGAATAATTATTTATAAGAGTACCTTCTGGTTTTAACTTAACTTTAAATTACCATATGCAGTTAAGAAAAAATTAGTTTCATTAAGTTTAGGCTTAAGTTTAACGTTATTTAAAACATATAAAGGCAAAATATTTACTTCTGCACCAGTATCTAACTTAAAATCAACCTTGAAAGACTTATTATTTACATACATTGTAATACTTTTCACCCATGTTTCACTTACCTTGTGAATATCCTTATTTACTTCATCAATAGAATTTGTTAGTTCTTTGATTGATTTTGCACTTATTTTAAATTCACTATGCCCGTTTACTGGTGGATCTATCATTACAGAGTCAACAAATACACTATGTTCATTATATATACCAAGTTCATTATTTGGTATTCCAACTTCATAAATGTTCTTGGGACACCTCGCGGCAAAGTGGTTCTTTACTTTGCATTTCGCACACGTCTTTCTGAAAGCTGAACAGTCCCGATATTTGCGCTTCCACATTTCTTGCAGTCATATTCTAGTGTTGATTGCTTCTGCTGTGATGACAATTTCGGTTGCACTGACTGTTTTTATTGATGCTGCTGTTTTCTATATTTCTTCACACTGTTCACAGTCGCTGGATCATCTTTCATGTTCCGCAGTTGCTCTTTGCTTGTTTCAGCAGCACTGACTATTTCTATAGTTTTTTCTAATCCAAGGTTAGATTCTCGAAGCAAACGTTCGGTCAGACTCCTATCTCGAATGCCTAATACAATATGGTCACGAATCAATCCATTTTCTTGTTTAGCAAACACATAAGTTTAAGCTTAAGTCTTTAACTGTGTGACATAACATTCAATTGTTTGTCCTTCTTGCTGGCTACACGAAAAGAATTTGTAACGTTCATATACGACATTCTGCCGTGATGAACAATAATCTTCAAAAGACTTCAAGACCTCTTCATACTTCTCTTTATTCTCAGGTTTCTCAAATCGAAACATGCTATAAATTTCGAGTCCTTCAGTACCAAGTAAATTCAAAAGAATTGCAATTTTCATCTTATCTGGCTTGGCATCTTTTTTCATTGCAAATAAATAGTTTTCTAGCTCTTGCTTCCATTTTTTTCATTTTTCTTAAATATTTCCGACAGAGAATGTCAATGGAGCAGGTGGTTTGAAATCCATTTTGCTCTTGATACCATGTAACTTCTTGTTTAGTTTGTTCCACTCAATAACTTCTATACTTTCAAAGTAGACTCAACTAATGAGTATAGCTCAAATAAATTCAAAATTTATTTTAAATACAGTTCACATGACATTAAGCTAGCACAACAACACGTGCATCACAACAATGGAACAGCATAGCTATGAACACCGTTACAGTTATAGTTATTTTAAATATACATCACATCCACAGTATATTTTTTAGAATTTAAATCCCCTATAAGCTAATTTGGGATCTTTTTTTATACTTCTGAATTAATTAATGTATTTATTTGAGGTTTTATGGTATTAAGGTACATTAATCTCTACTCAAAATATGCATAATTATTCCAGATTTAAGTATTTAAATTTAAGAGCCAGAATTACTCAGAAATATTTTCTTCTCTGATATTTTTTATTTCAATGAAGTGAAATCTACTAAAAATTAATAATTGTTTCAAAATTAATAATTTGTCCCTTAATATTATAAAAACAATTCTAATAATTGCTGTGGAGATCAATGAATGTGCATTTATGTGGAAATTTAGACCTGATGAATATATTACATAAAGGATATATTTACATTATTAGATAATACTTGTAGATGTATGAAAATTTTTAGAATTAAGTGTTTTTAGTGCTCCTAGGAGTGTTTTTTAAGAATAATATTTTCTGTAAGGTCTATGTAATATTATACCATTAGGAAAAATGTTAGTATATTGCAAAGCATTCTCTAACCTCTGGTTCTACTTCTAATTGACAGAATGACTACTTCTAATTGACAGAATGCTGACTTCCTCATGTCTTATATTACTTATATTCATGTCGTGTTTTTAGGTATATTTAATTCTAATATCAGTATTAGATTTGTGACATAGGATAAGACTGATAAATGAATGGTTATTTTTTATAGCTTTTTCCATAAGTAACATAAATATGAACCCCTTTCTTAACAAGTTTTTCATAAGAGCATCCCTTGGGCAGATAACCTTATTGTGCTTTACCAAAATTGAATTATTGATTTCAGTCCAGTGTTAGATTTGAAGTAATTCTATATGTGTAAGACAAAGTTTATACTCATGTAAATGCTATATACTGTATTTGACGGCATAATAGACGCACCCTTATTTAGACGGCCACACACAAGGGAAAAAAATGTTTCAATAGCGTGGTTTCTTTTAGTTCTCACATTTCATAAAAGCCAAATAAACAATTATTGAATGCAATTACCTTCATATATAAGACTGTGTCCTTCACGTATAAGATGCAGGTAACTTTTTTGAGACCAAATTTAGGAAAAAAAGTGCATCTTATATGCCGTCAAATACGGTAATAATAAATATTGTGCATACATGTATTAAAAGATATTGATGGAAATCAGTCCTACTATAAGGACCCAATCAATCATACTATAAAAACATATATGTTCCACACTCTTTCCTTTTATACTAGTAGGCAAATCCAGCTTTATCTGCTCATATTAATATTGTTGAAAAGATCACAAATGGTCAGTCACAAATGAAAAATAAAACTGTCAGAAAAAAGGTTAAAAACCTCTTAAGAATATAAAAGCATGGCAGTAGCAAGTGTATTCAAATAGGAACATACTGAATATATTGCTCTTACCTTCTTCATGTTTGAAGGAGTATTTTTACAAATATGTTTAATACATTGAATGGCCAAAAATTGTGAGATAAGTATCTAATAATTGATTCATAGTCTTGAACTTTCATGAGTAAACTATATGTGAAGTCGTGGAGTCTAAAAGTTGCCAATACTATTATGCAGGATAAACCACAAATATCCCTATATAGATTATAATTGTATTGTACTGGATGGTGGTAAATTAATGGTTCATAGACTTGGTTCTTTTATGTTTCATAACAGTGAATTTCAAAGGAAATCATGTTGATAAAGTCTATATAATATTTTTCAGTTCATTAATTGACAATAGAAGTTTGGTGACATAGTGCATTATCTTACAGGATTGTTCTCATATTATTAGAATGCTGAGGAGTTACAAAGAGATATGTGGTTTATAAGATCTTTTAACAAATGAGAATTTTTACTGCATATGAATGGAATATTTCTGTGTCACCAGAGCCATCTCAAACATAATGATTTTCCATATGCATAGGAAATTTTATGTTGTTTGTAGAGCTTTTTTCACATTCTTAGCATTCTGTATGTTTGAGGTAACTAAAATATTAATTAGCAGGACTTTGCTGCCTGACTGTGCTATACTGAGCTTTATTGTTCAACATTTGAGTTCTATAGCTGCATCTAAGTGATGAGCTAGAGGGTCTTCAGCTATTGAATTTTAATCGTGCAGTTAGTTAATTTTTGGCGGAACATTGTTTGGTTCACAATGAAATTTCATGTAGTGTAGCATATTCTTAAAGCTGTTAGTCATATCTCTGGAACTTTCATGAGTAAACTATATGTGAAGTCGTGGAGTCTAAAAGTTGCCAATACTATTATGCAGGATAAACCACAAATATCCCTATATAGATTATAATTGTATTGTACTGGATGGTGGTAAATTAATGGTTCATAGACTTGGTTCTTTTATGTTTCATAACAGTGAATTTCAAAGGAAATCATGTTGATAAAGTCTATATAATATTTTTCAGTTCATTAATTGACAATAGAAGTTTGGTGACATAGTGCATTATCTTACAGGATTGTTCTCATATTATTAGAATGCTGAGGAGTTACAAAGAGATATGTGGTTTATAAGATCTTTTAACAAATGAGAATTTTTACTGCATATGAATGGAATATTTCTGTGTCACCAGAGCCATCTCAAACATAATGATTTTCCATATGCATAGGAAATTTTATGTTGTTTGTAGAGCTTTTTTCACATTCTTAGCATTCTGTATGTTTGAGGTAACTAAAATATTAATTAGCAGGACTTTGCTGCCTGACTGTGCTATACTGAGCTTTATTGTTCAACATTTGAGTTCTATAGCTGCATCTAAGTGATGAGCTAGAGGGTCTTCAGCTATTGAATTTTAATCGTGCAGTTAGTTAATTTTTGGCGGAACATTGTTTGGTTCACAATGAAATTTCATGTAGTGTAGCATATTCTTAAAGCTGTTAGTCATTATCTCTGGTAAAACCAGTAACTTTGTTCTTCAGAAGTGCATAGCTAGTTTACTAGTTTATGTGTGTAGATATACCACTGATACAGCAGTCATGATAAACACCTGAAACTGTAGACAAAAAACAGAACTTTCATATTGTCTTCAGTACTGCCTTTCCTAGTCTTCTGGCACTGTCTATAAAATCATATAAAAGGTATGCAATTCACAATGTGCAACCATTTTGAAATTGCTCTGAAATGATTGTTAGATTTATAAATTACTGGGAAATCATCTAATGACCAACATCTAGTTTATTGATTATGTGCAAAAATCACAATTCTATTTTAATTGCTGATTCTATGTGGTCTGTCTGCATTAATAATTGAGGAGAATTGTGTGGGTGTTGATGAGAATTTTGAATGACAGATGTGTCACTGTAATGTAAATTTTAATTTTTAATAATTTATTTATTTTAACAGGAACCATTTTAGTTTACATATGAATGATGTTTTGAAGCTTCTTAAACCTCAGAAACCAGTATATTTAGATGTTTCTACTAAGGTTCTCAGCAGCAAAAGGTTTGAAAATTAAACATTTATATTTAAATATTTCTAAAACATTAAAACATGTTTTTTTACACCCTAAATTTATAATTATTTCCACAATTTTTGCGGTCTTTTTATGTTTTAATAACTCATGGAAATCTTTCTAAAAATTCATGAATTTATTTTGTATAATTTTCTTTTCAGTGTTCTTTCTGCAATAGACAAGGCAGTTGAAATGCAGGAGAAAGGTTGCTGTATTTTTTTTTTTTTTTTTTTCAGTTTAAATCTTTTCAGGATTTGTTTTAACGGTATTGCTCATTTTTTAATAATTGTCTGATATTTTTATATATGTGTAGATTGTAACACAGATGATGATATTGCTATTTCTGAAGCAAAAGTAGAATTATATGAAAAAGCAAAAACAGTTTTACATGCCATGAAAGCATCCATATCTACATTGTGTCTGAAGTAAGTTTGAAGATATTAATAGTTTTAATCTTCTGTGTTAAGTATGTTGTTTTGTTACTTGATTTTGTATATAAACCATGAAATAAGTCTTATTAAAGATAATTTTTTTATAGTCTGTCTAGTGTCTTCTTTCATTGTATTTTCAACAAAGTTTTTAATGGAATTCTAATTCATAAAGGCCAAATAGAAATTTTGAAGTCTGTTAGTCAGGTAAGTTAATTTTAATTTCTGAGTAACTCAAATGTTTGTCTCATTTACTTGAAACATTTAAAAAGAATACGGAAATATAATTACCGTATTGTTTAGTTATTTAAATAACACAACAATAAATGTTTAATTTATGGCTTGGATGTAAAATAAAAATGAAATAGCTAACAACAGTTGAATTTTCATTAATTTAATATGAGCTATTTAATTTTTATTTTTCAGCTTAGGTATAGAATGAAAATTAAGTAGCTAATATTATGATAATAAAAATTAAACTATCTAAAATTTGTAAAAAGTTGTTTGTTATTACAATCACCTAAGAACAGTTTATAACCAGCAGCTAGAAGGATGACCATCAAATTTCAAAAGCTGAATTACGCAGTAGTGTAATATGTGCACAACCGATTGTGGGTTACCAGATAAGTACATTTTCATAAAATTATGTAGCTTACTTTGGCAACATAGCACCTTACCCAGTTATTCTTCTCAGGTTTGGGTGATTAATCAGAGAATACCAAAATCTTATATGAAAGATATAGCTCAATATTTTTTCAAGTGCCCAATTTTTCAACAAGTTTTTCAAGAGTCACTGTTTTGCAGATCCAAGGTTTGAGGGTTTGATGATGTATGTATATGAGATGTCTCCCAACAATAGATACACTTTCAGTTTTATACAGCTTTCAATATTATTGCATAAAAACATTAAAAACGATACTAGTAAAAATGATACTAGTAAAGGGAAATTTTATTCTGTTTAGGGATTTTGAATCTGAATTCCTTTTATGATGTGACTGATATTTAGTTTAATCTGTAATTTAGGTCACATTATACTTTATCTAACCAATCTAAAAAAAGTCAAAATGTAATTTTAAAAAGTGTCCGGACATCTTAAAGCATGTGTGAAAAATACTAGTTATCAAAACTATTCTTCAGATATGAAACATTACATTATTTTTTAATTACATTATTTACATTATTTTCTATTATGTGTTCCTTTTTAATAATACAATTTGGATTTGTAAAATATTTTCAATATGTATCTCATTTATTTCTTGTAAATGTATATATGATAGTTAATGGGATGAGGAATACTTATTCTTGATAATATTCAAAGACCTGCATAGTACTTACTAAATAAAATGTTTTGTCAACTAATTTTCATAATGGTGACTTCTGCAATGGTACTGGAACACCAGTATGCTTATTTGCTATGAAGCTCTGTACAAAGTTATTTTTACCAAAATGAAAGAATCATTGTGAGGGATCTGTTATAACTGTAGAGAAGAAGTTATCAAGGAATATTAAAAGGGTGTTTTAATGCAATAGCCACAGGGCATCAACAGAAATAGATGTGCTGATGGTATATGATTTTTTCCAGTAATGTAGAAGAAGGTAGTAGACATGGCAGGTGATTATTTTGAGGTATTGTAAGTGTTTGTTTCTATGACAATAAAATCTTTTCAGAACTATTCACCGTGTTGCCATTACTTTTAATCCATCTGTTATTTTAACTCTTAAATCATGCATGTATTGCAATAAACTTTGCAGCAAACTTATACAGGTCATTAAATTATTACTATTCATGAATTTAATGGAACCAGGTACCATTCATCCTTGTTGTATTTTGTCTCAAATAACAGTAATTGGAACGTACACAAGTTTTATTATTTTCTTCAGTATATTTTGTCTCAGCTTGAGTAGAAGGATTTTCTGATTCATCTCAAGAGTAATAAAGAAAGGTGCTTCATATTTCCCTAGATCCATTTCATACTCTTTGAAATGCATATTCTTCATTTTGACCTCTTAGTATCACGTAATCTGATGGAATGTATCTTATTTTTGATAAATTTAGATTCCATAATGTTCTACTAATAAAGCAGTGAAATAAATGCACAAATTCTGTTTACCAAATTAGAACGTAGTACAATTTGCAAAAAACATTTAGCAACAGTATTTCCAATTTAGTTTGCAGTGCAACATTAATGTGCTTTTTCATTTTATTGCATAATTGTGGCTGCAGATTGATCAAACATCTGTGCTAAGTTATCATAGCTTTGAATTCTTCAGTCTTTCATGTTTAATAAATTTAGCAAGTACTAGTTTCTAGTTTCTAGTTATGGAACAGTTTGTGCATATAAGGCCAAAATGCCAAAGAAACACCAAATATAAGGTCTACTAAAAAGTTCTTTCCAATAGTATTTTATCCAATAATGTATTCTGTTCGAATGTTTAAGTTTCAACATGCATGCGCATGTTCATTTGAGGCATATGTGGCTGCCTCTCTTTATCATTGCATTTATACGCATGTGTTTTTCTAAATTAACTAAAATAAATTTAAAAAACTCATATTGTTATTAATACTGCACTGTATTTTGTATGAATTCCTACAAAGAAGAATTGCTACAGAAATATGTTAAAATTTAGTGGAAGTTTATGATCAAAATGTAATTTTGAAGATAATACCCAGGGAATTGTTAAAGAAATTTTGAAACAGGTTATTTCGACCTTAATGATAAGAAAAGCTCTGGATGACCATCTTTAATCAGTGATAATATTGTCAAGACCATGATAGAGCAAGATACGTGTTTGACAACATTTGATATTGAAACGATTAACAGATATTTTCAGATCATATTCATAAACTAGGATTGATTCATAAATATTTCAGTTGGGTGTATCATGAGTTAAGGGAGAAAAATTAGTACTTTTGAGCTATTATATGCACATCTTTATTTGCTTGGAACAAAACTGAACCCTTCTTGGATTGGATGATATCTAGTAATGAACCTTGGTTTACTTACAAAAATACCATTTGGAAAAGAGAATATAGTGAGCCTGGACAACGTGCAATTTCAGCTTCTAAACCAAGCTTGAGCCTGAATAATGCATATGTATATGATGGGACAAAACATATAAGGATCTGTGTATATGATGGAATAATACATATAAGGAACAATACATTACAAGCTTTTGAAACTTAGCAGAAAGCTCAGTTGGGGAAGATACTGTCAGCAAATGGTTACTTCAACAAAGGAGTCAAAGAAAAGAGGCCAGCAAAATTCAATAGAAAGCACATCATAGTGCATTATGATAATGTGAGACCAAACACTGCTTTGGCAACTCACCAAAAAATCGTAGAGCAAGGCTGAGAAATTCTCTTTCATCCACCATACTCGGCAGACCTAGCACCCTCTGATTATCACTTGTTTCTCTTCTTGCAAAATTTTTTGAAGGGAAAGAAATTCAGAACTGAAACAGATATCAGCCAAGCACTACTTGAGTTCTTTATCTCTAAGAACAAGATATTTTTCAAACATGGTATTTACAAATTATTATCCCACTGGCAAAAGGCATAAGTAAGGACAGAAATAATGTTGTGCTGTAAATATTAATAAAGTTACGAAAAATGTGTTATTTTATTTTGCTTCCTAAATGGACAGAATTTCCCAGCAGACCTTATACATTATAACAGATAGGATATGATAATAAATTGGTCAATATGCATTATATCAAGAACAAAATCAAGCACTTTGATTTCTTAATTTTATTCATGAAAGTTTTTTTTTTTCTGTGATGATTTTAAGTAATTTATCATATACTTTGCCCTAACTATTTTAAGAGGCTTGCTTGAAAGGCTGTCACCTTTCATATATTTTTTTTTACTCATAGTGATCTTCCAATCCTTTTACGTCTTTGTATTTGCAAAGTATAAAATTCTATCTGTACTGATGCTCAGGGAGGCAAATTTTTGTGGTGATATATTCTGTGAATTTTTTAGTCTGTCAATGGCTGAATGAATAAGACTTAAAACTCATAGTTTGACCCATTACTAATCTCATCTAATGGTATTCCTTATGTGCAACATAAATATAAGGCAGTTTCACTAATGCACAAAATACCAGGAAATAATCCACAAAAGCATCCTTCCCTTTAGGCTGATAGCCATAATTGGGTAATCTAGTCCAATACTTTGCATGTAGTTTTTGACGTTACATTTCTACAAAATTAGTTATAGTCAAACATACACGTAGTATCTTCATGTGTGGATTCATTTTCATTAAGTGTATATTTAAAAATGTATTAAAATCACAGCAGTTCCACTGAATTAACTGGGGGGGGGGTGAGGATAACCAGATAGTACCTTATATTTTATACAATGTTTTTGTAAGTAAAAATTACTCTTGGTATGTTCAGATGCTGCTATTTTGTTATTTTTTAAAATACAGGGTGTTTATAAAGTCCTGGACCCATTTTGATGTTTAATAACTCATAAAGTAATAAAGATAGATTAAAATTAATAACATAAATGGTTAGATAGACTCAAAAAGTTTCATGACCCTTGTCAATAAACTTCCACGTGTGCCCTTTTCGTCGCATGGAGAATATCAAGTCGATGTTCAATTTCACACCAGGTACCGACAAGCATGACAGCATCCACAGAGGCTATTGCAGTTGTAATTCTGGCTTTTAGGTCGTCGATGTTCGACACTCTCCTCCTGTAAACGTTGTCCTAAAGGACAACGTTTACAGGAGGTTTAAGGTTACAGGTTTACAGGAGGTCCTTTACGGACAACTCCTCCTGTAAACGTTGTCCCCCGGAAAGGTTTAAGGAGGAAGTCTATCAGCGGAGGAGAGAGTTATATTAGGTGATCTAGGTGGCCAAGGAATTGGACATCCTCGCCCAATTCATTTTCCTGTAAAATGGTCATTCAAAGAACTACGAACGATGGTACCCCAATGAGGTGGTGCACCATCTTGTATCAAAAAGACATGTGGCTGAAGTATGCGACTGATGAGACTGTCTTTTCTGTAAAAAAGAAAGGCCCAATGACTCGGTCGTGCATTAGTCCACACCACACATTAACCTTTGGGGAATCCCTTCGTGCCTCACGGTATTCATGGGGGTTTTCAGATCCCCATATGCTCACATTATGGCGATTAACAATGCCAGAAAGATGCCAAAAACAAAAGAGCAAAAAATGCAATTAATAAGCAGATGATATTTAGAAAAGTACAGATATTTATACTGGAAAATGAAATTATCTGAAATTAACCACACGCACAGACGATATTTACAAAAGTAAAGATATTCAAGCATGAAAAGGAAAATATTATTCCATCAATAAATGCCATAAGTTTGTTTATATCTTCATTATTTTATGAGTTATTAAACATCAAAATGGGTTCGGGACTTTATAAACACCCTGTATTTATATATTTAGCTGTATGATTTGAATTAAAAACTGATTCATTGTGTGATTTTAGCATTTAAAATAATTTAAAAAATTACTTTTCGAGAGTCATCACTTCAGTTGGAGGGGGGGGAGAACTAACCTTATGTTTAATTTTAAGTGTAAAATGGTAATAACTTTGATTCTAATGAAGATATTTTATTTATAGGAGAATATCCCTGTCATTTACTTGCCTGTACATCGAAGTCATTTTGATTACATGCTGATTTCATTTATACTGTACAGAAATTCTTTGAAGATCCCTCTTGTAGCTGCTGATGAAAAATCGTACATTCCTTTTTGGAGGTGAGCCAGATGATTGGAGCTAATATTTTCTTGTCTTTAATTTAGATTAAGTACTTGTATTGTTTCTCATTAACTATTTAAATACTTTGGGGTTTTTATCTTGGAACAATTGAAGAATGCTTAAATAGCCAAGAATAATTTCTTAGATATAAATAAATTTTTCAATATTTCCTTTGAAGGACAAAGAAAGCATTTAAAACTTGTAATATGTTTTGCTGTTTGTAAAAATTAAAGTAACTGTATTTATATAGCTATGTTACTGAAAGTGCAGTAAAAGGAATTTTTAAATTAACCTCTTCACTTCCAGCATAAGATACACTGCTTGACATTGAAAATGCAACACCATGAAGGAGTGGTCAGAAAGTGATGAAATTTGGAAAAAAGACAGAGACAGCAAGCAGCAATAAGTGATCTTTATTTCAAGATGATAGTCAGAATACAGAGCGAACGGCATCGGCTCAGTAGGATGTGGGACCACCGCGGACAGCGATGCATGAAGAAACATGTGTAGGCATAGAGTCAATAAGAGTGTGGATGGTGTCCTGAGGGATGGCTCTCCATTCCCTTTCAACCATTTGCCACAGTTCATCTTCCGAATGAGGCAGGGGCAGAGTCTGCAAACAGCGTCCAATCACATCCTCATCTTCCGAACAAGGCAGGGACAGAGTCTGCAAACGGCATCCAATCACATCCCACACGTGTTCGATTGGTGACAGGTCAAGAGAGTACAGTGGAGAGGGAAGCATCTGTATACCTTGTAGAGCATGTTAGCAGATGCGAGCACTGTGTGGTCGGGCGTTATCCTGCTGAAAAATTGCATTAGGCAACCCCTAAAGGTAGGGGATTGCCACTGGCCACAGTACATTATCCAAGTATCGTTGGGCCATCATAGTGCCCTGAATACGAACTAGAGGTGATCTGGAATTGTAGGCAATAGCGACCCAAACCATTATGCCACGTAGTCACGCTGTGGGGGATTTCACAGTTACTACCGGATTAGATCTGTCTCCACGTCTATGCCACACACGTATGCGGTGACTGTCACTGGATAAACAGAAGCATGACTCATCTGAGAACACGACATTTTGCCATTCTGTGATCCACATCGCTCCACTTCGGCACCATTCTAAATGTTAGTGTCTATGCTGTGGGGTTAGTGGCAGTCTTCTTAACGGACGCCGTGAGTGCAGGCCACATTCAACCAATCGACAGGAAATGGTTCTGGTCGACATGGGAATATCCAGGGTATCTTGCACATGCTGCAGAATTGTGGTACAAGTAACTTGCGGGACCGCCACAGCTTGTTGGCAGATGCATCGATCCATGCGTGCTGACGTCACTCTGGCTGCACCTGCACCCCTCTTTTTTCCCACATTTCCTTGTTCCAACCATGTTTGCCATAGCCAATGCACCGTGCTCACATCCGTGTGGGTATCAGCTGCGATTTGACGTAAGTACCAATCCGCCCTGCTCAGTCCGATCACCATACCCCTCGTAGAATAGTCTATCTGCTGGAAGTGCCTTCGTTGACGGCGGCCTGGCATTCTTCCCTATTACACGTATCCTCTGGGACAAAAACCAACTTTCTTCGATAATTCGTCTTTCAGAAATAATGACACAAATATTTCCCGTTCTGCACGTTCCTTCCCTTATATCTTACTTCAGGTGTGTCGGAGAGTTGCGCATTTCACATCATTCGCATAACTCGGTCATGTGCGTCTACTCTAAAATTTGCATAAATTTCTGACCACTCCTTCTTGGTGTTGCATTTTCAATGTCAAGCAGTGTATATGACAGAGGTGACCAAACTTTATGACAGTAGTAGCCACATAATACTGTTTATGAAAGTTGAAGAGCCGCAGCTGGATTTTCCAGGAGCATCAAAATCTATATTTATAATATTTGAAAAATAATAAGAGAGTTTTGAATAGAAGGAAACTTTTGAACTGATGAGAATTTCTTACTTTTTATGTAATTAATATAATTACATGTAAATAAATAAATCTTATTTCTTCTGTTATGTGTTTGAATGATACACTACCTGGCCAAAAGAGTTCGGACACCCAGTGGTATGGACTCATAATCCTGAGTCATATATTAATATGATGTTTGTCCCCCCTTTGCATCAATGACAATCTACACATGTCTGGCGAGACTTTCTACTACTTTTCGATAAGTAGCCTTAGGAATTGACTTTAGGTGTCCATCACAGCTGAAATGAGTGTTGGCAGTAAGGATGGTCAATCTGGCTGAGTATGTAATTTGCATATTGATGCATCCCAAAGGTGTTCTGTGGGATTTAGATCAGGGCTCTGAGAAGGCTGGGCCAATTTTCTGTCAAACAATGGCTGTGCGAGTCTTAATCTGTGAATGGACAGTTATCCTACTGAAGGAGAAATAGGCCTTCCCCAAAATATTGCCATAAAGTTGAGAGAGCAGCATTGTCCAGAATGGCTGCATACATCTCAAAGTTCATGTTTTCAATCAAAGGAAACTAAGGGACCCAGGCTAAACCATGAATAACACCCCCACACCATGAACATATCACCACCAAACTTTACATTAAGTTGTAAAGCGAGATTCATCACACCAAAGAATGTTTTTCCATATGTCCACAGTCCAATAACAGTAAGCTTTGCACCACTGTGATTAGTGCTTTCTGGGAAGTGATGTTCAGCTTGTGAGCGGCTGCACGAACAAGGGATCCCAGGTTTTGTAATACTGAACAAACAGTCCTGCTACTAGTACTAATGCCTGATGAACTTTGGAATTCCTGAGTGATTTCACCAATGAGGACTAGTGATTTTGTTTCGCCACCCTTTTCAGAGTCCTACAGCTGCATTCACTAACTTTTTTAGGTCTGCCACTTCATTGTTCTGTGCATCAACATTTCCACTTCACAATTACATCATTCATGATGGATTTTGTCTTCTGTAGAATGTCTGAAATTTCATCAACTAATTTCCCATGAAGGTGGCATCTTACTATACTGCCATGATCAAAGTCACTAAGCTCCTTTGACTTACTCACTGTCCCACAAATGCATAAATTTGATGTCACCTGCTAGATCCACTTCTTTAGAGGAGTGTTCAGATATTTTTGGCCAAATAGCGTACAGTCCAAGAAAATATAAATTTGAAACTACTGTGTGATGCAGTAGAGTGTTGTTTCAGTGAGAAAAACCAAGTTTCTTTTGGTTTCCTTAATCTTCCTTTATTTATAACTATGCTAAAGATTTATTATTAGAACTATACTAAAATACATGTTTTATTGGAACTATACTAAAATTGAAAGAATAAGTGTTGGTTTTAAAAATAAAATAGAATCTCGCCTCTTGAGTGAAGCATAAATCAAATGTTAAAAGAGATCAAGTGTTTTTCTTTATTTTTAAATCATATCCAGTCTTTAGAAAGAATGAAATAAGTGATACACAATGGCACTCAATTCAGTGAACTGTTAATGGAGGGAAAAAAGCTATTTTTAAATACGCTATTCAGCTTTTTTAGGCTTTTGTATAAAAATTTATAATTTTGTTTGCCCACACAGTTAAACACAAGGACAAACATACTGAGATTTAATCTGACTTTGGTATTTGAATTGACACATTAGATGCAGACTGGATTAAAAGCTGCATTCTTTTTTTTTTTTTTTTTTTTTTTTTAATTCTAAGATTGGTCTTGCAAAACTTTTATTTTTAAATTCCAGGTCTGGAATTTTAGAATTTTTTCATCATTTGGATCTTTTGATTACTAATCAAAGAAATTGTTAAATATTTTAAGTCAAAACTTTGGATTGACTAGTTCTTTTGATGCCCTATATGTGTAGAATAATTCATTGAAATAATATGACTGAAACTTTACTGGCATCTGATTCATCAGTATCTTTCTTGATACTGATTAGTCAGTATCATGAATGAGGAACAGTGTAGCACTGTTTCAGTATAGCATCCAGTGAAATCTGCAGAATTTTTAAGTGATCGGTCATCGAAAATTCCCTAAACTATTTCTCTAATCTTCTCAATAATTTTCTAAACATAACATAGCTAATCTAGTATTAGTAACAATTCATGACATGGTAAATAAATAGTGCATTGTGCACATATTACATTTATTGTCTACCAGTTGAAATCTTTAGTCATGGTTATTGAATTTAGAACTGTCTTTCAAATACAAGGTATTCAAAATTGAAGGAACAGAAAGAAAATATACATGCAATTACTGTAATGAGTTGATGCAAATGCAGGTATAATAATAAAATTTAACTCCCCAAATTTCTATGGACATGTATAGATGTCCGATGTGGAGGACCTTTGTGACATGGCAGACATCTGCAAAATAATTCATTAATTTAGTTGAGTCTTGCTGCACGGGTCTTAGATCAACTCTGTGCCAATTGTTAACTACTGAACACATAAAGATAGACTCACGATTTATTGCCTTGTCTTAAAATTCTTAGTAAAATACCTCCAACTCAGAATAAAGTTTAAAATAAGATTTTTTTAAAAAAAATTATCAGTGTAATAGTTACACAACCTCTGTATAGAAAATAAATCTCCTCAGCTGGCAAGAAGATAAAAAGCATTAATTCAAATAAAATTTAAATATTACTTGGAAGGTAAAATAAATGCGTTTGAAAGATTCAGCTCCCCTTTAAACTCCCCAGAACAGTTATGGCTAGCATTGCTAAAGGTCAAAAGCGAAAGTAAGATTGTCATTGCTAGAAGTAATATCGAGACGGTCTGTGATAGCTGCCAAAAACTGTCTTGATTTTAGGAACTCGGTGCTTGAATACATTAACTGATATGCACTTAGGTGGAAGATGAAAATGGAAAATAAAATAAAAGGAAAGTATGAAAATAACACATTTATAAACATAAAGCCCTAGACAGGTGACAAAATAGCTTGTGCATTTGAGACAACAGCCTTGACTGATTGCAGCTGTGTTTGCTGTAAATCTTGTTGATATTGGGGTAAGAACTTCTTTGTCTTTCATGTATCCCTGACAAAAAAATCACAAACCTGCACCCTTAACCCAGTGCATTTGGCTAATGTACAGAAAATATTTACCTTCAAAGAATCACACAGTTGTTCCAGTGTTGCAGATGTGTCTTCTGAGAGCGAAATATCAAATTCTACCTGTTTACACTTTGCCATGTAAATAAAATGTGGCTTCATGAGTGAACACAAGTCTGCCTGAAAAATCATCATCTCGCAGAATTATGTTGAACACTCCATTTTGGCTGGACAAAACTTTTTAGTGCCTGTGGTATATCAAATTTGTGAGATTTCACTGAAAAAAAATTTCACACAATTTTTAAGTTTCAAATATTGCATGCTAAAGGTATACTAATATTCTTAAAAAAGATTTTTTACTTTAAAATCATTTTTAAAAATTCATTCAACAAGAAAGGTTTTAAAATTTAATTTATGCATATAAAGTTACGAGTTAGTTATGTGTCAATACTGAAGTCTACTGGTATTTTCTAGAACATGGATTTTATAAGAATCTGTGAATATGCCTTTCCTGAAAAAAAATTATATTGTTCAATACTTTTCACTACATTCTGCACAAAAATGCTAGTGACTTAATTTATTAACATCAGAAACCTTTTTTTAAACTGATATTTTATTTTAAATGGTGACAGATGCAAACGTTTTGCTATTCAATATATGTAACAGCCTCTGAATGTAATTTCTAAATGGTTATAAGTGAAAATCTTAGTTGTTTTTTATCACATGGGAATTCAACTGTGTATAAAATTTTCTTAAATGTAAGTATACAGACCAAGGAAATGTACAAAAAGTTACTATGACCAGGTAATCTAAAGTGACCTAAAATAAAGGTCGAAAAGGTCAGTGAAAATAAAGGTTAAGAGGAACTTTTGTGAGCATGATATATATTGTATAGAATCTTTGTTAATGGGGCCTTTATGTATGTATTGAAAACAAAAGCATTTCTAATTGACAATGAGTGTAAATACAGAAAACACCAGGGTTCCGATAGTGGGGTTCGAATCCCAGTGAACAGGCTGTCTGTGTGGACATTTTAATGGTTTTCTCCATGTGTAATGTGTATACCAGCCAATTTCCCTTACAAAGTTGTCCATGAAGGCCTCCCCATAGGCCTTACAATATCTTCGGCACAGGCAGATACCCATCGAAGGCTTCGCCATAACTAAATAAACCAAAGCACCAAACCAAGTTTTCAAGTTTTAAGTGGTGGAAAAAATCATTTGCAGCTTAAATCTGGATAATAATAATAATAATAATAATAATAATAATAATAATAATAATAAAATGCAGTGATGTTGAGGATGACAATGAAATGGGAAAATGTCAGAATTAACCATTTATTTTGATTGTGACAAAGCATGCAAGAATTATGTACCTAAAGGGAAGGCTAAAGTAAAGGACACTCTTAAAAAAAACTGGTTCATCTTCAGGCATCATATGGGAAAAACCATGAAAATTTCTATGCAAGCAGCCTATTTACTGGATGTTAAGCTGTAGTCAAACTAACAGTGTGTGGCAGTTTTTCTGCAAACTTTGAGTAAAGCTGTTTATTACTTAGGGGAAACTTTAAGCTGTTTATTACTTAGGGCAACTTCTGATAATCATATGATACATGATCAACAGCTTTTAGTTAGTTAGTTATTTCTTAGATGGTGCCATTAAACTGCTATTTTTAATTTTGAATGTATGTTAAAATAGTGGGAAAAAGGAATGATTAAAACAATAACCAGTTTTAGTGTTTCCATAAAAAAATAAAAAACTGGAAGCAGTAGATCGGATACTACATGATTATCCAAATTCATATTTCTTCTCCCATAGATCTTTGATGATAAAAACATGCATGAACATACTGTGGCTCATGCAATTACAGGGTTGTCACAAAAATAGTCTACAATTTTTTTTTTTTTTTTTTTTTCTAAAATATAAGAAGTTTAAAAACATTTAATAATTTTTGTAAATTTTGATGAACTTTGTTTATTTCTAGTTTTTCTAGGAATATTTTTGTCATGAAAATGTATATATATATATATATATATTGCATGGATTATTTATTGAATTGAACAAATAATTTAAACTATTAATAAGAGTTGCTAACAGTAGTACTTGTGCACTTATTTTTAGAATTTCAAAAAGACTATTTCAGAATACCTTGCTGAGAGAAAAATTTTTTTACTAACGGAATTTTTGAGTATCTAAGGCTGTTGTGATTCCAGTTACTTTGGATAATTAAGGCTTTTCCTAGGTATTTTAATCCTAACTTTTAAAATTCATTTATATATATATATATACAGAGAGAGAGAGAGAGAACTGAGTAACTAAATGCATATGAATTGGGTTTTGTCTAAAAAAGGGTTAAGTTTTATAAGGTATTTCTCCTGCCTTCTTGACATGCCTTTGTGGTGTTGTGGTCTGCATGCTGGGTGCGTATTCCAGAGGTCCGCGGTTCGATTCCCACTGAAGGCGTTGCTAATTTTTCATCTTGCCTCCTCCCCCCCCAAAAAAAACTAATGTCTCTACAGTGGCGCCCGAACTAAGAAACGGATGTTGGATGATGATTCTCTACATCAAGGATTTGACCCATATAAAAATCTAAAGAATAAATTTAAAGAGCTGTTGCTATATACGGTACAAAGTCCATAATCCGGACGTCCATTATCCGGAATGATCTATAATCCGGACCTCAAAGCCACAAACTTACGCATGCGCTTTTAATGCACGTGTCCGCTATGCATGCGTGTAAAGTGTTTTACCCATGTGCACTTCCGATAGTGAAGAAAGTGACAGAGAGGTTATTGAAAACGAAAAAATTTCGATTGACAATTTAGTCGGTATTCTCGACATAGCAATTACAGGACTTGAACAGTGGAACTTTGTAACTGAACAAGAAATTATGTCTGTTTATAGAATTAAAGAGAAAGTATTAGCATAAAAAACGAAGCAACTTAAACAACTTACATTGAAAGAAATGTTTAATAAAGTAAACAAATAAATATTAAGCTTTTTTTTGTAAATTTTGATACCCTTTAGATCGTAATTGCTCTTTATTTCATAAATTACAGTTTTCATATTTTTAATTGTATAATTTCTGCGTGCCATCTTACCAGATTTAAATTGATGATCTATAATCTGGAAAGTCCCTTAATCTGGAATCCCAGATTACGGACTTTGTACTGTATATATTAATTGCAAAACTTATCATACTGGTCTGTCATATCATAGCAAACAAGATTTACATAGGAACTTGTGCTGGAAAGCGAACGAAGCCTACTAGAGAGCACTGTTCGCAAGAGTAGAGGGGGAGAAAGAAAGGATATTTAAAGAGGTATTAATATTATATTTATGAAACAACATGATTAAATCATATAAGATGTTCAAAATACTTTCCATTCGTCAAATTGCATTCTTCACAACAGCAAAGCAATGAATTCACGGAGTCCATTTTGAATGGCTCCTGACAAGATCCATATCCAATGTTACGGTCATCTCATACACCATGGACTTAATATATCCTCACAGGCATAAATCCAGGAGAGTCAGGTCGGAGCATCATGGTGGCCATGCGAATGGTCAGAGGAGGACCATTAACAATTAAGGTATGTAGAGGTATTCCCATATAGTGCTGCTAAAATGTGCAGGCATTCCATCATGCTGAAACCAGATGTTTCAATGCGCATCAACCATCAGATCAACCATCAGATCTGGCAACACTCTTTTCACAAAATGTCCATAAAGAACTGAGTTAGTAAACCTAATCATCCTTCTTCTGCAACGTCCTCACCTGAAACGATCATACTTAACCACTCTCCCATAAGCCTGCGAACATTGCGTTCTAGCGGTCGCCATTGGCATTTTCGGAGGCAAGTTCCTGTGTAAATTTTGTTTGTCATGGTATGACAGACCAACATGTTAAGTTTGGCAACGATGTTTTGAGACACCCTGTATATAGGAAAAGAAAGAGAGAGAGATGCATTTACAATTTTTAAGAATGTTTGATTTATATTTTCTTTATATGTATATTCCTATATATATTTTAGTCCCTGCTTAATTTTGAGTCTGTGCCATTTTTAAGAATACTTAGTATATATATATATATGTAAGATAAAAAATATGAAAGCAAACTTCTTAATTTAATTCACTATAACCTCTTTTATTTTTTTATTTCATTTGGGAACTTCATCTATCTGTCCTAAAAATAGTGCTGTAAATCTAAACTGCCTCATTCAAATTAATCATGCGATCTTACGTAACCCTTAATGCAAATGCCTCTTGACCAATCACTAAATTGTAAACCAAAACTAAAAACTGAAACTTAGAATTAGAAGTTGGAATGCAGGATAAAAATGCCAAATAAATGGAAAAAACTTCTGAACTAATATTATAAAAACAACCATATTTGTTACCAACTTGAATACTGAAAGCTTACATTTCAAATTATTTAAGATTTTGTTGCAAAAAAATTGCATTTCAGACATAAAAGTCACATATTTCATAGGCCTCAAAACATGAAAGTAAAATGCTTATCTGTTTATGAAATTCATTCAGTTGTGAAAATTTGGCAGAGATCTCTCCCAGTCGTTCCAAAAGAAATTTAAGTGAACAGATTGTTCTTCAGTTAGTTAGTTAATAAAAAGATTCAAATAATAGATAAAGCATATTAATAATTATATAATTCCTGTTAGTTGAATGCTGGAGAGTCGGGCTTTTACTATGTATTCTTTCTTATATGTTAGCATTCCTACAATTTTTTTGTATGAATGCACTGAATAAAAACATTAACTGCTAACATAAAGAATGAATATATAAGATATACATGAATGCATACATTGTATGTGTATGTACACACATTATTGTGATTATGTTAAATAAATATATTAATTGACTAATTTATTTATTTATTTTTATTTTTTTATTTCAGGTACTTGATGAAACTTTTAGGAGCTTTCTTCATAAGAAAAAAACTTGACTGTGATCAAAATGAGACTGATTATGTATATAAAGCTGTTTTGCAAAGTGTAAATAAAAAATTAAATTACTTATTTTCCTTATTCTATTATGTACAGAAATAAAGCTATTTTACAGAGCAAAAAATTAGAAAATCACTTGATTTCTAATTCACACTATTTGTGTTTTTCTTTAAAGTTTTAAAATTCAGTGAAGCATATTGTTAAAATAACTTTTCATTATATTTTATGTCATTAAATATTTTGTTACCTTAAAAGTTTATTGGTTGTGAACTGAAGCATGTCACTTTTTCACCTACATGTAAAGTTGAATTTTGTTAATACATGTGTTTATTTAAAATAAATGATTAAGATTCATCAAATACAATTTTTGGGTTATGGGACTCCTTCTTTTGGGCTATAGCAACACTCGTGTCCAGGTGGGCTGAAGGGATCCTCCAATCTATACAATTTCTGGGTTTTTCTTCCTCCCCTTTTCTGGTAAATTATACAACTTTTATTAGATTGTTAATTGCTGGGATGTTAAATAAGTAGGAGTTCTCTGAGCAGAAAATAAAATTAGAGTAGATGTTTTTATAATAAAAATATCTTGGGTTTAAATTTATTTTATTTATTATTTTTTATTTTATTTATTTTAGGGTGTATTTACTATTTTTTTTTCATTTAATTTTAAATGATGTGTTCAAAAAGTATATTTTCTTGTGATTTTTATCAAACCATTTTAATGTATGATTTTTGTAGAAAAGTATATACAGTCAAAAGTCGTTAATTCGGACACCCATAATCCGGACCTCAAAGCTAAAAACTTTCTGCGCATGCGCCGTGTTGACACATGCGCATAAGACCTTTTACGACTGCGCATATGCGTGTGCGCAAGCGCAGAATACGTTTTCGCATGTGCGTTTTATGTATAACGGATGGTATAAGCTAAAATTATCTAATTATCTATTTCAGTTAATGTTGATGATTGTGTTGTTCCTTAATCTTCGAATTGGATCCAGCTTATTATTTTTTGCAGACTGTAAGAGCAATTTTATAAAAGTAAACTTGAACTTTCGATTATGTCAAATAGAATTTCCGATGCTGGAGCTCCCAAAGGATCTACAAAACGAAAGTATGTTTTGATGTACATCAAACAAAAAGTGGAATTGCTGCAAAAAATGGATAAAGACATGAAGAAGGTGACAGAGAGGTTAGTGAAAACGAAAAAATTTCGATTGACAAGTTAGTCGGTATTTTCGGCACAGCAATTAACGGGACTTGAACAGCGGAACTTTGTAACTGAACAAGAAATTATGTCTGTTTTTATAGAATTAAAGAGAAAGTATTATCACATAAAACGAAGCAACTTAAACAACTTACATTGAAAGAAATGTTTAATAAAGTAAACAAATAAATATTAGCTTTTTTTTTGTAAATTTTGATACCCTTTAGATCATAATTGTTCTTTATTTCATAAATTACGGTTTCATATTTTTAATTTTAGAATTTCTGCATGCCATCTTACGAGATTTAAACTGATGATCTATAATCCGGAAAAATCGATAATCCAGAATCGCCGAAGTCCTGACGAGTCTGGATTAACGACTTTTGACTGTAATTATAATCTTTTAGTATTCATCTTTTGATGTGAGAAGGCTATATTTTTTACCTGTATTTTGATGTTGAATTTTCTATTTTTTCTTCTTTTGATCCTAGTACATAGTTGAAAGCTTAAAATCTGGTCAGAACTTAGAATTTTTTACTGAAGGTGATCGATCAATATCAGGGAAGCCTCGGCTCCCTAAAGTTGGCTTACTTTCAATTGTGGTGGATTCTCTTTTAAAAGGTAATGTAAAATATTAAGATTCCAACACATTTATATATTGCATATGAATAAGTTTTCATGATTAATAATGTAACTGGTACTTTGTGTATTCCCCCCCCAATAAATCATGATTGAGTTACCATGTTTCGAAATATACTGAATAACAAGAACTTAGTTTTCCATGAGAACTTATGTAAATGTCTTTTAAAATTTGTGTCTACTGTAATTATTAGTACTTACATCGTTTTAGAAATGCTTTAAATTAAATAAATTATTGTAAATGATTTAATATTTTTATTTTTACCCCCATTTTATAACAATATTACTCTTTATTCTTTTAGGTTCTATTGAGGATGTATATATTTCACCTGTTTCCATAAGTTATGAAAAAATCGTTGACAGAAATTTTGTGAGGGAATTGCTGGTAATGTAATTAGTTTACTTTGTCTAATAATTTTATTTTTTATTCAAATCTTTCAAGGTGAAATATTAACTCTTTTTATTGCTTGCTTTTATTAACTTTTTTATCTGTTATTATACTCTATATTTATAATGCTATGGTCAGTTACAAAATTAAAAATTCATTGTTAAAGCAGATGACACTTGAGAAAAGGAAATGACAAGTGAAGTATTTAAATTCAAACAGGAGTCTTCCCCCCCCTCTTTTTTTTTTTTTTTTTTTTTTTTTTTTTTTAGTGGTCACACTTCGTTTAAGAAAAATTCTAAATTTCTATGAGGGCATTCTTTTACACAGATAACTTTCAAGCTTTCGTGATGAAAGAGCTTTTCATAAAACTTCCAGGGGTATTGGTTTCCATTCCTTTACCACTACTTTCCAAAGTCATTGTTTGATCATGGTGGGCTTGTATTTAACGAACAGCTGTTTTCAAGAAACCAAAGGGACAATATTCAATAGGTGAAACATAAGGGGACTTTGCAGGAATATGTTGAAAAGACATATATGCAATATCTGTATCAGTCTTCATTTTTATAAGGAATGCTGTGGTACTTTTGGAAGTATGGCTTTTACTTGATGAAGTTCACTTTTTGAAAAGTCATTGGGATAAAGATTGAATTTCTTCCGTAAATATTGAATGCGAAATTTTCTCTTGATTGTACGTTGAGTTGATTTTTAACATTTTTTTCTCTCTTCTGATTTTTAATTTCTCATTGTAAGGGAGTCCTATGATAATCATAAACACTTTATTGAAATTTTGTCAATAAAAAAAAGTTTCAATAAAGTGTTTGTACGGAACCAGGTTTGTACATTTTTTTTCTCTTTGCTGTTTAAAAATATGTATATATATATATATATATATATATATATCCTTTTTTTGTTACAATCATTTAGGTAAATGGATGCTTCACCAAGGATCACAATATATCCATTTATCTTCTGCTAAATAGTTTTCATGTAGTGGTCTACAAATAATGCTGCATTGAGCCACATGCCTTGGCAAAAGCTGGTGAACATTATGCCCTTTAGCTTTTTTAAGTTGTAAATCTTGGTTTAGTATTTTATTTAATATTGCTACTGATGTATTTAAAGAGTTTGGAATTGATTTTTGTGTTGGCAGATTTTCTGTTATTATTTATATTCTGTTAACAATTTAAGAAATAGTACATGCCTTTTTTGGGTATTCGTTTGGAGTATTCTACCTGGTTTTCACAGAGTAACTCTATATTTGAAGACTTGTACTCACATGAGAATTAGTACTTTTGCTGGTTCTCACTTTGAAATAATGCCATGTTATGCTATCAAAAGCCATGTAATTGCTATCTCTTCTAATTACTATGTGGCTATCACCCAGGAGCCTGATTCAAGTGTCTCTTGCCCTTAAGTCTTCAGCCTTATACTTCAAGACTGGCACTGCTCAAAAGCTCTCAAAACATTCTACCTATAATTGTCTCATGCCTTACTACTGCAACCTTTCTTCAAACTGAGCAGTAGCTAATTTATTGCCATTATACTGACCTGGTTTTTGCAGAGTAACTCTATCTCCAAGACTCACTCACGCATCACATGAAAATTAATTTTTCACTGGTTCTCACTTTGAAATAATGCCATGTTATGCCATCAAAAGCCATGTAATTGCTATCTGTTCCACTCAGGATGCAGCTATCACCCAGAAGCCTGAGTCAAGTGTCTCTTGCACCTAAATCTTGGAGTCTTCTTTCCATCTAGTATAATGACTGATGGTTTTTCCCTTTCCAATTAATAATGCTGCTTATTTTGCACTTAAAATTTTTAATACCATACATTTCACAGTTTTTTAACAATGGAATAGGAATTTTTTCTTTGGAAATTGCAAAAACTTATCGTTCAATCCACAGCTTGTTTACATGCAACATTTTGAAAGAAGAGTAAATTTAGAAGTAGCAAGCAATATTTCTCATTTCAAATAATAAGCAATAACCAGAAGTTTTTATTCCAAAACATTTACTTTTTAAAAATTATTTACTGAAATTGTTCTAAAAACAGGGTTGCCACACCAATGGGGAAACCAGTAAAAGTCAGGGAATTCGAAAATTGACAAAAAATTCAGGGAAAAGTCAGGAAATTTAAGTATTTTAGACAAAACCTGGAAAAGTCAGGGAATTTCATACAACGATCCTGCCAAAAAAAGCGAGTTTTGTGCCGACGTCGGAAGAAATAACTTTTTTGGCGAATTGTGTATCACGTGAGTGTCATTCGGGCAGCTGGCATAGAGCTAATTTTTGCAGCTCCAATTTGATTGTCTTTTAGAAAGGCAAAGCAAGTTTCCCGCAACTTTTGGTTTCCAGTAACCTCGAGAATCGGGAGAATTGCATGTGCAGTGCATGAACTAAAGAAAGTACCTATTCTCGTATAAAACAAAATGGGTTTAATCTTATCGTACGATACCATGGAGGTTAGAATCAAAGAATATGTATTGTAAAGCAGGAAAACCTCTCTGCAACAGACGTGGCTCCGTTCCATCGTAGAGGGAAACAGCTGTGCATGCGCGATATATCTGTCGCCAAAGCTCGAAACCGGTGTCAAAGTTTGCAGGTCACGTTATCAAGAGTTCATAAAATGAATATAGTTTAAAATTTCTTTAAACTCTAAAGGAAAAAAAAATATTTTTGGCGCAAATAAATTAATTCATGGATTAGTTATTTTGAGCGGGGGGGGGGGAACTACAAAAATCCGTTTTTAAAATTATTGCGAAAAATTCAAGAAGAAACGTTCTTTGATAAAACGTTTCTTCTTGGATAACGTTTCTTCTTGGATTTTTCGCAATAATTTAGAAATGGATTTTCGTAGTTTTCTTTTTTGTCAAAGAACGTTTCTTCTTAACATGTGTTTCTCAATTTCCTGTACACATCGCGGAGAGGGAAATTCTGGCCGCCAGGTTCCGTCGCCAAATCCCTTGGCAAATTTTCCCTCCGCTTTCTAGCGGTGTAATAGCATTTAAATGTATGGAACCTTTTCTTCTTTACATAGACTTTCTTTGGTTAGAATAATCTCCATGTATGGTACGGCGGGATTTGGCGACATAATGATGAGCAGTAAACGGGTCATTTTGTTCTTGGTGACAGTTTTCAAAATCGTGCGAAGGCCGTACCTTATACTAGGATTTTACCACAAAATCTTTTTTTCTCTTTTCTTTTTAATAAATACCATGTCATTTTGCAGTAAAATAAAAAAAATAGTAATCAGTCATCTAGGCTAACCATGTAATATAACTATATTTGCTAAAATATCGTTGATTATTCTAATTCAATTTTTAAGTAATTTATTTTTATGTTATTCGTATCATTTAATGTTGCTTCTTCCCTCTAAATTTATTTATTGTTAGTAAATAATATTTTCAAATTTCAGAAAATTTTCTCTGGCATAATCCTGAAATTAATTCAAGCAGTATGATGACATACCATCATGAAATTTAATGCACATATTTTTTTCTTATGTATGCTGCGAAATAAATATAAAATACCTCAATTTATTAAAAAAATATCATTAAATAGATTTTTCTTTCGTTTAGCTGCAGAATGTCTGCAAAAAAAGCCTTATTTTATTCCAGATTGGGCAGATTCTAATCTCAATCTTCAGTGGAGAAAACAACTCTTATTATAATTATATTTGTGTTTTCAAGTGTTAAGGTGCCTTTTAAGAAGACACCTCACACAAATTAAATTTACCTAAAATCTAACCTAACTATTTAGCATTGCATTGTGATTTATAAAGAGCGGATTATTAGCCTCGTGTTGAACTGGTGATGATCATGAGTAATAATTAAATAAAACATACAATTGTTATCCAATGTATATATCTTAAATTTTTATTAAGTTTCTTAAGTGGAAAAGTAAACAAAATTATCAAACAATGTGTACCAAGAATAATTAAGAATAAATGTCCTCTGGGATTTATTCAATAATTAAGTGAATTTGCTACACAGTACAAGTAATACCATAATTAATTTACCTCTTAGCACAGCCAATGTACATTATGCGGATAGACTGAAATTTTCTCGAAACACACCTGGAAAACCTGGAAAAGTCAGGGAATTTCATTCTCCTGTTTGAGTGGCAACCCTGTAAAAATGTGTAAACACCCTGTGTATTTTGTAATTCTTATGAAGTTGCATTACTTCACAGAATTCAGTTCCATATATTAAATTTAAAACATTAAAAACATGAATTGGTTTAATATTTTTAATTAAGTTTTTCAAAATGCATTTAATATTACAGAACTTGAAATACTGCTGTGTCTCAGTAATTAATTTTTGTTTAAAAATAATTTATTGGTATTTTACATATAAGTAACATTCTAAATTCTTGCTAATTTAGGGTCATCCAAAAGACAAAGAAAGTTTTTTCTCTGTTTTGCATTCAGTGTGGAAAATGTTACATTTAAATTTTGGAATTGTGAGGGTGAATTTCGGTCAACCATATTCATTAAAGGTTGGTGATTTTATTTTCTCTTATTAAGATTCATATATAACACATCGTTCAGTTCAATAAGTCCCGGGACTAACTAAGTTCGTTCAGTTCAATAAGTCTCGGGACTAACTAAGAAAACAACATCCATTTCACAAAATTCACGTTTAGTCAGCAACATAATCACCATCAAGAACTATGCAATCATTCCAGTGCTTTTCTAACTTTTCAATACCATGCTTGTAAAGCGATTTGTCCTTGTTCACAAAATAAGCTTCAGTGGCAGCGATGACTTCCTCATTCGAGCCTAATCTTTTTCCATGGAGCATCTTTTTGAGATCAGCAAACAGCCAGTGGTCGTTGGGGGCTAGATCTGGCAAGTATGGTAGGTGGGGAAGCAGAGTGAAGCCCAACTTGTTCAATGTAACCAGTTTTTGCATTGACTTGTGGCATGGGGCATTGTCTTGATGGAAGATTATTTTTCTTCTTCATATGCGGTCTTTTTTTTTTTTTTTTTTTTGATTTCATCCTTTTGACACACCAATAACTCACTGTAATAGGCACTATTGATAGATTTTCCCTTTTCAAGGTAGTCAATTAAATTATACCTCGTGCATCCCAAAATACTGATGCCATGACTTTGCCAGCTGACTGTTGCATTTTTGGATGCTTTGGACGGCTTCGGAAAATGGTTGTTTTTGATGGAGCAGAGCCTGGATAACGTTTTTCAAGCCATTGCTGATCTTGGACAGTATTTTTGCTCATTAAATAGCAATGTTTGATCAACACTTGAAATTAGTTTTTCTCCATTTTGTCCATAAGTAGTGCCACTTTCACCACAATAGCTTCACTATTTCCGGTCCGAATGCCATGAAAATCGGACACGTGTCATTCGAAGGTTAGTTCTTTCGAACAACGAAGTCGAGTTGATATTACTACGTCATCTGTTAGTCCCAGGACTTATTGAACGATGTGTTATATATATAAATAAATGTAAATTTACACTTATATCCATAAATATATGTAAATAATATATATGTAAGTATGTGTGTGTATTGTAGGGTAGACTGATTGTGCAGATTTTGATCCATACTTAGAAATACTTTAATTCATGCCAGCTGCAATAAGAAGCAGTCATGGCAGAATTAATATTGTTTTCTAGTTCTTGTTGACATACATCAGTAAGCTAAAAAGAACTTATATAATAATTAATAATTAAATTAGTACAATTTCATTTTAAGATATGATTTTGAAGAGAGAAATGGCAGACTTGTTAGTAAGAGGAGCAAAAATGAAAAGAGACATGATCTAAGATGGAGGCTTATTTGAGAAGAGATTTGCAAATTTTTACTTCCAGTTCCAAACTAACTGTATCTTCCAGCATTATGAAAAAGATAGAGAGGGAAAATATTCAAATCTAATTGAAAAAAATTAAGGGGCTATTGCAAATTAAAGTTAGTATTTCTATTTACATATTTTATATTATGTATTCAACTGCAAATCAGTTAGCTCTGAGCCTGATTCTTTTATCATTCATTGTCCAGATAAACAAAGCTAAAAAAAGTTATTATGATACATCAAGTTCACTTCACCTGTGCAGTAAAGAAATTATTGTTCCAATTAATTAGTATTAACTAAATGCTACAGTAGAATTTTGACAATCCATGAATGATTGTAATCTGTGTATATTTTTGGATGCAGACATTAGCTTTTTCTGTCTGTGCAGTAGTATTTTTTTTTATTATTGCTCATGGATCAGATTGCAAACCTGTGCAAATATTTCACACTCAATCTCGACTTTTATATACATATTTTCTGCTGTCTCTTATGAATATGTGTGGTAAATATATGTAAAGAATTTCTCTCTTCTTTTCCAGATTTTGAGCTCAAACTTTAAATGCATTGTTATAGCCATATGCCTTGTTATAGCTGTTTTATTTATAACCTGCACAAAGCAGATAGGAAGAGATGTTCAAGAATAGCATTTGTTGAGATTTTCTTTGCATAGAAAATGAGAAAGAAAAGAAGGTTTAAGAATAGAGATTTTGTGTAATAAATTCCAAAAGCTCAGTTGTAGCACTAATAATTACTAATAGCACATGTGCACAAAACATAATGACAGAACTATCATAGGGATTTATTTTAGGGGAAATATTACTATGTGACATTTGAAAACAGTGTATTTTAGTTATTTTGGTATACATTTATTTAACATAAGAGCATAAAAATATTTTAAAAGTAATTTCACTACTGTGTATGCAATTTTATTTATGTTAATTGTTATTATGTTTTATTTATGTTAATGCAATTTTATTTATGTTTATGTTTTATTTATGCTTCATTGCATGTTTATAACAGCAATTCTTTCATTCTTAAAAAGTATCTATCATTTATCCCTTTTAATTTATTACATTTCCTTCTTGTCTTCGCACTCTTGTAGTTTTAGATTTGAATTGTAGAGCAGCTCTGTACATTAGTAAAGTGAATGCATACTTATTGCTTTTATCTCTTCATGTTTCTTGCCTGTTAAAAAATTAAATATTTTATCCTTGAATTTCTTAAAGAAAAGAATAGGCTAATAAATGACTACTGGTTTTGTGATTTCTGATGCGTTTTATTGAAACTGAAAATGATATTGCAGAATTTTCAGGCTATCTTATGCAAAAGAAGCAGAATTTACTTTTATTTGACAGAACTAAAATTTCAAATTTGTTTGAAAGCAAGAAAAAAAAATATTTCTGATTGGATGATTTCAGATATAAGTCTTCAGTTACATTGCAACTGACTGATGATGAAATTACTTCAAATGTTTTAAACTAAGTTGATGTTTTAACATATTTGAAAATTCAAGTACTGAGTCTAATAATGAAGAAACAAAAATTACTTTTGATGAAGGTTTAGCATTAGACCATTACTACTTGAAGGCTTTCTTGAAAACAAATTTTCTTTAAAACACTAGAAAATGATGATATGCTGATTTTATGGAATAAAAAAAGGTATTATACTAAATAATACTTAATATAAGAGTTTTTTTTTCAATTATTTATGTGCAAATAATCCAAATGTAGTATAAAAACTAGAAACGGAAGTAATAATAATAAAAAAAAAAAAAAAAAAAAAAAACTCGAACACTAGATCTATAATCTGCAAAATTTACCCATTAGTATAACCCATGGTTCTGAAGAGTTCATATGAAAGGAATTCTGCTATGTTTGGTTTTATTACTGTGCTGAAACTGCATATACAGATAAAATATTTTATAGAAGCTTAAGATCCATACTCATCGGAACTTTGGCAATTCCAGATTTGGGAATTTTCTCGATATTAGATCATGAGTTTAAATCTAGTTAAAAAAGCTCAGTATTTATCTGTTTGCTTTATTAAACATTTCCTTTAATGTAAGTTGTTTAATTTGCTTCGTTTTTTGTTCTAATACTTTCACTTTAACAGTACAGACATAATGTACAGACATAATTTCTTGCTCAGTTACAAAGTTCATTGTTCAAGTCCTTTAATTGCTTTCTCACAAATTCCCACTAAATTGTTAATCGAAATTGTTCTCAACAACCTTTCTGACACTTTCTTCACTATCAGTAGCGAAATCTTTTTGGATTTAGAATCATACTACAGATTTTGCTGTCCATTAATTGATTCATGATTGAGATGTGATCACTATGTCAAATTTCTGTTATATCATTTTCACTTATTACCACTTCACAAATTTCACTAAATGGAAAATTTTGCTTTTTGTTTGCGATTTCTGAAGAACCTTCACATTCACAGCAATCATTTGGCTTTATGCTACTGATGATGTATCATGAAATTGGAACTAAACGCATGTTCTCCTAAATTATGTCTGACTTTTATTGCATGCTGATAAAGTTAAGCATGAATTAATTATGTTAGTGAAATTATTTATTATACTTACGCCTATTTCCTCACATTAAGGTCATCACATTCATGCACATTAAGGTACATATTCATGCACCCACATACCACTTCCTAGTTTGTCAAAATTTCATTTATTTGGTCAGTCATTCTGCGGCCACATGCTTCTCATGCAAAGTGTTTTAACTTAGCACAGTTAGCAGTCGAAGGGTTAAATTTTTCCCATTTTCTCTTTTGCCCTTCTTTTTGGCAACCACAATTCATGGTTGAATCTTTTCCTCTTTTGTCAGATTGTCTTTTCTGTCCAAACTGTGGCCTTCGATGGGGTATTGGCCTAAAACTTTGCCCATCTGGCCTTTCGCCAAACCCTGTAATGCATGTTTTTTTTTCTGCCGTGTGTCAATTTTGAAACTTAATTGCTAATTCAGATAGACTTTCTAACTTCATTGGATTGTGGAGCTCGAAAAAGTCTTGGATTTTAGGCAGTAACCTCTGCAAAATAATTTGGATATTTTTTTATCTGCCCTCTTCCCATACAACAAACTAAAAATTTGATTTTTTTTCATAAAATAAAGTCTGTTAAATCTTCAACTTTAATCTGGAATATAGTAAATAGCTCTGACTCAAGCTTGTCCCTATCTTTTACAATGGCGAATGCTTTAACGAGAGCATTTAAAAAATTTTCAAATGTATATGTATCGCTGCCACGCTCACCCAACACAAACTTTCCAATGCATTTATACCATGTTGAGGCTTGGTCACTAAGTGTGGCTGCTGTGATGGTAACTTTTTGTGCTTTTGTAACTGGCTATAATAGAAAATGGGATGGGATTTTTTCATCAAAAGGTGACCAGAGATTTCATTTCAGCTCTTATGTTGTCAATGATGAATTCAAATCCCTCCACGAGATCAACTACAGTCGGCGAAGGGTCAACTTGTGACATTGAGGGGGCCAAACTAAATCTTGGAGTTTCCTGTGACATGGTTCTATTCAAAGTTTGGTGCCACAATAGAGTTGTATTCTTTTGAATATCAAATATATGAGAACTCCTAAGACTAAAGGTGAATTTTTGCTATGTCTTTTAAATACCACACTGAAAGCATATAAAAGAGCCTTTTATTGACTCAAATAAAAG